AGTCTCAATAACCTGATGCCATTGTCTTAATTTTTAATAATTATTGGCATACTTTTAAAACTCGGAAAAATAAGAGATACGAATTTTTTTTATATCGACAAAGACGAAGGTTTAGGGGGTGAACAACCCCCCCCCCTCCCAAGGACCAAAAAATATATGAAAACGCATAATACTATCCAGTTGCATGTAAAGTAAAAAAATTTCCATAGAACATGGTATCTAGAGGTTTTCGGGGTCACTGATTACGAATTTGAGGTCAGATTTCCAAAATTCAAAATGGCGAATACAATATGGCGGATTAAATTTCTAAAAAATAGTTAGATTTTTACGGAACTTGGTATCAGGGGGTTTTAGGGGTCGCTGATTACGAATGTGAGGTCAGATTTGCAAAATTCAAAATGTCGAATTAAGTAAAAAAACCTACAAAGAACATTTACATGTAAAATCACACAATCACACAAAACCTTAAGCATTCACCAAATTTTTAGGTAATTCGCCAATTTTTTGGGGGATAAAAAATATTCATTAGAATTTTAAGAAACTTTTACCAAAATTTTGGATAATATTCACTATAATAATAATTTGGAAATTGTTAATTTACAGAAACAGCAAAATTTGTGGATATATTTCAATGTATTAAAAATGTGTTTCCATATGTTTTAAGCAAAAATTTTTATAAAATCAGTGTTATCGAAAAAAATTCATAAATTTTCCAAGTTTTTCAGAAAAATATCAAAAGTTAAAATTATTGATTGGTGGCAACCACTTAGTGTGACCTCGATGGGTTAAGACATTTATAATATGTGAATTGAAAATTAGTATTTATTCTATAATATTAAATAATTTATCATTAACAATAAATATAACTAAAATATTTGATTTTGTTATCCACATTTTTATAGTCAAATTTTAGCAAAATATATAAATTTTCTTTATTCAAATGTCAGAATTGGTATTTTATGTCAGAATAATGAAAAACTTTGTCTTTGCTTTAAAATAAAACCAAGTGAAATCTCCAAATTTATAGATATCGATTTCTTGGTATATTCTTTTGTGTTATTCTTAAAGAAAGTGCTTTTCTGTCATGAATAGTCTTTTTTCCCCTTATATTTTATTGAATGAATTTATTTTTCAAATAAATGGAAAGGAAGTTTAGATAAAAATTTTTCTATACGAATTAAAATTACAAAAAAAAAATTATTAAACTAGATAATATTATCTTAAATTTATCATATCTTCAAAGTACACTAAGAATGAGAATATAATAATATAAAAAATCAACAAAAGCTTTCTTAAAATTTTTGCAACTTAAAATTAATAAAAATTAAATTTCTCCCTTAAAATAAAATATTTCTTTTTATTGTATTGTCAAAAAGGCAAAAAATTTCTTTTTTAGTTTGCTTAAAAAATTGTTCAATTTTTTACATTAAATAATTTTTTTTTTAATTCTGTTGAATTTTTTCATTATTAAATTTAATTTAATTTGTTTATACCTAGATATAAATTGTAAAATTTACAAGAAAATGCTGTTACTATTGTGTATATTTTAACCGTGGCACTATTTGTAAGAATACTTATAATGAATTTTTTTGTTTGTTTGCATAGATTTTAATTTTCACCGCGGAGTTTATTCAAATTTTACAATTTATATAAAAAAAAAAATAGCCAGGAAGTCGAAGGATAAATGAGACCTAATTTCCAACAAATCGAATATAGAATTTTGAATTTCAGTCACGATTCATCTCGAATATATTGTCACGATGTGACTTTTCAAAATCTACATTAACATTCATAAATGATAAAGCTTTTTATCGTATATTTTATATGAGTTTAAAGTATTACAAAAAATTTATGTATACTTTCTAAAATAATTTATTATAATAGACTAATTTTTTAATGACATTTAAAATCAAATAGTGGACATTTTTTTTTTTTTTGAAAACAATATCAATACAAATACAATAATTATCGTTTGAAAAAAAAGTTGGCTAAATTCTTTTATACTTGAAAACTACAATAGAAACGTAATTATTGTAAAAGGCCTTTACCCTGTATATTTGTATAAATATATGCACGAAGAGCCATATAAAAAATGAATGAGATAACTCAGCAATAAAAAGAAAATTTAACAAGTCGATGAAAAAAAAAAAATAATTCATTATTTTTATTGATTATATACTGGGAAATATAAAAATCATAGACAACATCGCAAGCTTTTAAAGTGCGGATAAGAGTTTCAATAAACTCCATCGATTTAACAATAAAAGTTATACCTGGAAACCATTTTTTGTAGAATTACTTCATTTTGAAAGAAGGTCAAGTGCAACAATATTCTAAAGAATATGTAAAGTAAAGACTGATGATTAAAAATTTTTTTTTCTATTATTTACAATAGTCTATTATTATTAATTATTTAATTTATTATTTTTATTATTTATTATGAATGTTATAAATTAATTATCAAACTAATAATAATAATATTCTTGTTATAAAATAATTATAAAATATTTAAACAATAATAATTAATCTATTACTATTGTTACAAATGCATTAATTAGCTAAATAATTGTAAATGTGAATTATAAATTAATTTTCAAGATAGAAAAAGTTTCTTTTTAAAATTCATATAATGCAGAAAGCAATCGTAAATCAATCATACATATATTATATTTACATAATCATTTTACATTCTTCTTTTTTTTTTGTTTACTTCTCCCTCTTATTTTATCATATTAGGAAAATCTTTAAATATACGAAAAATTAATTAATCAAACATTACTATGTATCGAAATGTATTTTGTAATCAACTATATATTTATTTCTCGGAAATAATGATTCTTATTTTAATGTATATAAGAGGATTCTGTATACGCAATTATATAATCTTCTTTTACCTTGAATTTATTTTCCTCAAATCAAGCTGAACGTTTTCATATTTTCTCATATTTTTATATATTACAATATATTATAATGCTTCTCACGAGGAAAAAATTTTTTTATACATTATAGTTAGACTTAAGTGATCATAAACAATTTAAATACACTCTGTTTTTTTTTAATTATACATTTCTCTTGCCTTTTTATGAAACATTTACTTTTTTATTATTATAGTTTCAATTTATGTTAATGGTTCAAAAACATTTAGAATATAATAGGAATTCATAATAATTTTTCTTTGATTGAAAGTATTCTTTAGGGTCATTCCATTATATTTCACCTAAAGTCGTTACGGCCTAATTTTTAAAGAAGTTGATACTTTCAGAAATGATTTTTTATGATATTTAGGAAACGAAATAAAAAGAATTAAGTTAAAATTTTTATTATTTATCTCAAAATATGTATTTAAAGTGGACAAGGTGCGGAAAAATGTCACCTTTTTAGCATTTAGAAACTTTTTTTAAAAACATAGAAAAATTGTTAAAAGTGTAAAAAAAATTATTTTTTCTTGTTTAGAATCGATTAATTATCTATTTTTTAATGATTAAAGTAGTAAATAAATTAAAATAATATATAAAATAAGTTTTTAAAGTTGGTCTGTCAAATAACCTAATTTTGGGATTTTTATTAATTAATTACTAAAAAGTGGAGTTATTAAATAAAATAAAAACTTACCGAATGTAAAGTATTTGTGGTGAACTTTCAAATTTTCTTAGCACTTTGTACTTTTTAAATTTATAAATGTAAAAAATCTTGAGTCGAAAATTTGCACTTTGTTGACTTTTCCGATTTTTAATCGCTTGTAACTCTTTTAGTGCAAAATAAAAACTTTTGAAACCTTGTGGAATATTTAAGTTAAATCTAAATAAAAACTAACTTAAATTTTTGTGATGGATTTTGATCGAGATAAAGAGAAAATTTAATTCCAAAATTGTACGTATATTTCCAGGTTAATGTATGTAATTTTTTTAAACTTGAAGTTGGGCCACTACTTCAAAGACGAAAAATTACATACATTAACCTGGAAATATACGTACAATTTTGGAATTAAATTTTCTTCTAATCTCAATCAAAATCCATCACGAAAATTGCAGTGAGTTTTTATTTAGATTTAACTTAAATATTCCGCCAGGTTTCAAAAGTTTTTATTTTGCACCAAAAGAGTTACAAGCGATTAAAAATCGGAAAAATCAACAAAGTGCCAATTTTCGACTCAAGATTTTTTACATTTATAAATGGAAAAAGTAAAATGTGCTAAGAAAATTTGAAAGTTCACTGCAAATACTTTACATTCAGTGAGTTTTTATTTTATTTAATAATTCCACTTTTTAATAATTAATTAATAAAAATCCCAAAATTAGGTTATTTGACAGACCAACTTTGAAAACTTATTTTATATATTATTTTAATTTATTTACTACTTTAATCATTAAAAAATAGATAATTAATCGATTCTAAACAAGAAAAAATAATTTTTTTTACACTTTTAACAATTTTTCTATGTTTTTAAAAAAAGTTTCTAAATGCTAAAAAGGTGACATTTTTCCGCACCTTGTCCACTTTAAATACATATTTTGAGATAAATAATAAAAATTTAAACTTAATTCTTTTTATTTCGTTTCCTAAATATTATAAAGAATCATTTCTGAAAGTACCAAGTTTTTTAAAAATTAGGCCGCAACGACTTTAGGTGAAATATAATGGAATGACCCTTTAGATTTTTGGATTTTAATTTGAATATTTTTCGGTGGTCATTTTTTTTCATTTTTCTTCTTAGACTCATTTTAAAAATTTAATTTTGTACACGGAGAGAAGGGCTTAGTAGATCTTACTACTATCTCAGTTAGATCTACTAAACAGTATCGTTCATTTTGGACGGACTAAACATTCAGTTAAATGAACGATACTGTTTAGTAAAAAAATTTACACGATTATCGATAGAAAAAAATTTACCGACAGAAACGAAATGTAGAAATCTGATTGGTTGTCCGCAATCTGGTTAATTGTGGACAACCAATCAGATTCGTGCATTTTTATTCTGTCGGTAAATTTTTTTGTGTGACAGAACTATAGTAGTCCCCATGAAGTAGGATAAGGAGAGGTAACGCCTGTAGCCAATCGCTAGAAAACTTGACACCATATAGGGGGGACCACAGTAGTACGACTTTCTATTTTCCTACTGTTGACAGCGCTTGCGGTGGGAAATATTTGAATTATATTTTATCACGTGACCTACCGCGAAAAGAGAAACATAACCTGAATGTTTCACATGGTGTTTTTGTTGTTAAAATTCAGTCGTTTGTTTTACACATGAAGTATTTCAGTAATGTGTTAGTGTTTTGAAAAATGAAGAGTTGTTTTATAAAGCATTGCGATTCGGGTTCGAAAACCCAAATAAAAAGAGATGGTTGTGTTCGAAGTTTTTTTAAACCTTCCATGGTAAGTAGAATGAAATTGTTTATTATTTTTTTATTACTCATGATATTATTATGTAAATAATAAATAATGTTAATTATATTTCTTATTTCGATAGAAAATGTTAGCAACATGGTCAGAGGCTATTCGAAGATTTGACAAAACTATGAATGTAACTCATAAGCTTTGTGAGTTACATTTTAAAGAGTCTGACATTGACAGATACTTCGAATGTAAATTGCCTAATGGAAATGTTGACAAAATATTAAGAGATAGGCCAAAATTGAAGGAAGGTGCCATTCCCTGCGTTTATTTGGAAAATATAAATAAACTTTATCCAGAAATTGCAGTAGAAACCGTTGAAGATGATATTAACGGATTTGAAGGCATTTTAAAACATATTAAAAATTGTACACTGCCGTCTGATAATTGGTCAGTTCAAGTGACAAAAAATAATATACTTTGGATTCGTGTAATGGAAGATGAAAGTTTTTCATGTAGACGTGTAATATTGGGAAGAGATCTAGAAGTTAAAGTAAGTTTTATATCATTTTGTTACAAATATATTTTTAATGTATTTGCATAATACCTTCATATTCATTAACTTAACCTAACGTTGTAAACAGCTGACTTGCAGCCATGTTGCAGACGATAAATTTTAATTCTTCGCTTTCCCCAAAGGAGCGCTCGCGACATTAGGAAAAAAGAAAGCCTACTACTGTGGTCCGTCTATCTGAGGGCCAATGAATATACGCCGTTACCTCTCCTTATCCTACTTCATGGTAGTCCCTCTGACTACGCTGTTTAGTAGAATCTGGACTAAACGTGTTTAGTAGAATAGACTAAATCTCTTCTCTCCGTGTATTTTTTTTTAATTGTTATTTTGTAAAAAAAAAAAATTCAATGACAAAATTGAAGAAAAATAAATGAAAAATGTTATTTTAAACATGGTTTCATATCTAAAATAATATCTGAAAAAAATATTTTACATTTCCTTGATTCTGATTTAATTGGATTGAAAATTATAAACTGAAAAACTGAAAATTATAAACTGTTATTCAACATTTATTGGTTTTCATGATATTTTCCAAAAAAGTATAAAAAAAATTTTTTTTTTTTTTATAAAAATTTATAATTATAATTTGAGATGAATCCGATCTATTATTATTATATAAAATTTTAATGAATACAATTAATTTTAAAATGTTTTAATTTACAAAATTTTATTTCATCATTCACAGGAACAGCGAAAGTTTTTGGGACATACATGAATAAGTTCTAAAAATCATTACTATATGGAATTTTCATTTTATAGAAATTCATTTGATATAATTATTTTTTAACTGAATTTTTATTTTTTCGAATTTTCATTAAACCGATTTTTTAAATTACAGAATTTTTATTTAACATAATAGCTTTTTAAATGATTTTTTATTAATAATAGAATTTCATTGCATAGAATTTTCTTTAAGACCAATTTCTATTTATTCGCAATAAATAAATAAAAATTTTGCCAATTGAAAATTTGAACAAATAAAAATTCTAGAAAGTGAATTTTCGGTTATATAAAAATAATAATTCGAGAAAATCAAAATTTAGCTCAAAAATAATAATTATATCAAATGAAATTTTATAAAATAAAAATTCTAACTATTGATTTTTAGAACTTATTCATTCCAATTTTTTACTATATGAATAGTGAGAAAGATTTAATTAAAACAATCAAAACTTTTGCTATTCTAGTGAAATATTTTACTGTTCCAGGTAAATCTTCTTTTACGTGATAAATATTATTATATGAATATTAAAATTTAAGGAATGTGAAAAACTATTTACAAAATTTAAATACATTTTTTTTTTTTAATTTATTTGTCACTAGGGTGACATATAAAAAAAAATTAATGAATTATAATAGTATTTTTTTTCTGCAATTGCGTGTTGTAGAAGTAATAGAGTACGCAAAGCGTCTGGGAATCGACCCGGATGCGGAACCACACCTCTTGGACTTAGCTCGTGAAGGTCTGATGGCAGCGCTACCAAAGGGCTGGTCACCCTGTTTTCATGAAGCCTCCGGTGCCTGGTATTACTATCAAGCGTCAACGGGGAATACCACCTGGGAACATCCCCTGGACGCGGTTTACAAGGAACTCGTTGCTCAAGCGAGGGCCGGTAACCGACAAATGAGCGTCGGTACGATTGTTTAATTTCCCTTCTCTTTTTTTTCTATCTCCTAATATATATATATATATATATACAATATCATCCATTTTTCATTTTTTTTTTTTTTTTTTTTTTTGCATTCTTCACTTTTTTTCTCCTCCTAATCTCATAATTGTTTCAATTTTCGAAGAAATTCCAATATCTCACTGAATTAATTATAAATGTCCCAAGGAAATATCATTGGTTTTTCGATTTTTCGAAAATTTTCCCCATTATTTGTCTATGGAAAATTATCAATTATTCAATTCGATAAAATCATTATCAATTTTTTCATCAAATTTTAATTTTTTTTTTTCCTGACGTGTATATAGGTATCGAATTTTCCATTCTTTTCTCGATATTCCCTCTCTATTCAATTAATTTATTTGATCCTTAAATTATCGAAGAAGAGAACAAAGGATGAATCGGCTCGTGAAATGCAAAAAAAAAAAAAAAATTCCCAGAAAAATGAATTTCATGTTAGCAAAAAAAAAAAAAAAATTCGTGTCATTCGAATTGATATAATTCAAAGTCTCTTCTAATTCTTTGAAGCGCATCAATTTGTGTCCTCTACGAAGCACTTATCTATCGACGTGTATATAATCAACTATATATATATATATATATATATATATAGAACCGTCTAATTATCCGTCGAGATTTCTTGCTCAAAGCAATTGTACACGTTGTGTCATTAACAGCATGAAAAGTGTCTCATGCAAGAGTTTTGCTTTAAACTAATATAGTTATTGTTATACATAAATAACAAATTATATTTAAAAAAGAATATTAGATAACTGTTGATTATTCAAATATATATTGCCAATTTTCGTATAAAAAATGATATATATATATAATTAATGTTAAAAAATTGTAATAGAAGTTAGGAAAATGTAACTTATATAGTTACTGTAAATATTTCAGACTAAAATCTCGATATCTTGCATGTTAATTAAATGATAGTGTCAATCAATAATAAAAAATATATATATATATATCTTGTCCTTAAAACAATTTTTTACTTTTAACAAATGTATCTCTTTTCCTTCTGACAATTCGAAATTATATTATATTGGAGTGTGACATCTTTAACATATGGAAATTCCCCTTTGAGCATTTATTCCCTTTGGCTAATTAAGGAATCAACAACAAAAATAAAAGAAAAAAAAAAAAAAAAAAAAAAATGGTAGATTGTTCGTAAGAAAGGCTTTTTCGCAGACGAAGACTCAAAGACGACCGCCAAGGACCTTGAATCACAGGAAGATGCAACATTGCCCAAGGATAATATCTCCAGTAAATCAATTTTATCACAGACCAAAATTCCCATGAAGTTGGCGCCATTAAAAAGAATTAAAAGCAATGAGAAAATTGGTTCACGAAGACGTGAGTCTTCATTGGAAAAAAATCCAATTTCCAAAAGTTACGAGACAGATATTCATAGTGAATCATCAATTGTTAATGATCGTGCATCAAGGGACTATAGAAATTTAAAATTTCATGATCCCATGTTTTACGAGAGTCCAAAATTATTGGAGACAATGAGTAAAAATTTAGATTTAAAAGAAGTCCTTAAACGATCAGAATCATTGAGTCCAAGATATGAAAAAGAATGGGAACATCTTAATAGTAAATTTAATTCTGATGAGAATATCATTGATATTGATCGATTGAGTGCCAGTTCTTTAGCTAAGGTAGATAAATCAGCTGAATCTTTAGATAAAGAAAAACATCCGAGGCAAAAAGAATTGACATTGACTGGTGGAGGATCCATTTTTCTCAAAAGCAATAGAAGCCGTGACACAACACCAAGTCAAGATGGTGGGAAATTTGAAGATTTTCAACTGTCAGCTGATCTTGGGATGAGCAGTTCTTCCGGTGATCGACTTAAATCCATTTTACGAGAAAAGGCTTATGAAGATGGTAAGTTCAATTACTATTACATTAACTGAAATCTTTTTTTGTGGACTGATAATTTTTAAAAAGAAACGCATATTTTCATCAGAAAAAAATATTTTTATTTTATTTTTTAAAGTAAATAAATTTTATTTTTTTACTTTTGTTTTATTTATTACATTTGTCTTCGTTTAAATTTGTTTCAATTTTTTTGTTCTATTTCAAACAAAAAATATATTGACATTTTATGAAAAATCTCAAATTATTTTGAATTTTTCTTTTTTTTTTGACATATATAACAAAATGATAAAAATCTTTAATTTTTCTAATGATTTGCAGGCTTCGAAGTGACACACTTTTTTTTGCTAATAATTTTGGCCAAAAGCCACTAAATGCTACTTTTTTCAAAAAATAATTTAAAAATGACAAAATTCAAGAATTTTAAATTTTACCGATTTTTTTTTTATTCCTAAAAGCTCACCAAGTTAATGATTTATCTTTTGCCTTATAAACTATTGCTTTAATAATTATTTTTAACACGAATTTTCATTTTTAATTTGGCCAATTTTTTTTCGATGGAATTTTTATTTTACAAAATTTTTTCTTTTCCCAACTGTTTTTTTAAAAATAATTCTAATTTAACCGAAATTCAAACAATAATTGAATTTTTGAGTATTTTGAATTGAAAAATCTTTTAAATAATTGAAATGCCGAGATCTTGATTAATGTTATTAGAAATAATTATTTTAACAAAAAATTTGAATAAAAATTTTGAATAATAATTGAATGTCAGGAGATTTTAAATTAAAATTTTAGTAAATTAGAATTACTGAAGATTATTAACAAATTTTCAAACATTAATTGAATTTTAGAGAATTTTTAATTAAAAAATGTTTTATTTAATTGAATTTTTAAATAATTAAATAAAATTTATTGAAATTATTAATTTAGCAAAGAATTTTAGATTCAAATTTTAGAAATAATTGAATTTTGGAAGAGTTTGAGTTAAGATTTTTAGAAATAATTGAATTTTTCAAGATTATTAAATAAAATTGTTGTTTTAAAATACTAAATATTTTATATAAGCTTCCGATTCCAAGTTCTAGGATTTAAAAATTCTACTGGATGAGAATTGTAATAAATTAAAAATAGGTTAAATTAGAATTCTTTTCAAGAAACGGGTAAAGAGAAATTTTGTAAAATAAAAATTTGGTATTTTGAAAATTCCGTTGAGTAAACATTCGTTTAAAAAAAATTCTGTGTTATAAATGCAATTAATCGAAATTTAACAATAAATAGTTTTTTTTTAAATAATCAGGAGAAAAATGATGTTAATTTTATTCCTAAGAATTTTTCTTTCAATTTTTTTAGACAAGAAATATTTACACTTTAACATCAAACTTAGAAAATTAATTTTACTTTATTTTAAAGATGCTACTTTTTTCAATTTTGGGTATACTTTTAAAAAAAAATGATACTTTTTCATGTTTTTCTTACTCTCGGAAGTAACTCATTAAAATCTATATATTTAAAAATAAACCACTCAATCTCATTTACTTGATTAAATAGCCAATAATATTTCATTTAAAAATACAATTCATCAATATATATTGCTAAATAACGAATTTTCTTGATATTTGTCTTAAATTATTTTAAAATAAGAATATCTATTCTGACCCTATTTTTTCTATATCTAATTTATTCAGATGACAGACCAATGGAAGAAGAACGAAAGAGTGTTCGTTTCGATTTGGAGAAGGAGCCGGACATTAAATTTACCTACTCGGACTCGGACGAAGATTGGGAATCAGAATCAGAGGAAGAAAATGTCAAAATATCAGCAATTGCGAATATCAAGAAAGGCGCTTCAATATTTTCTCTACAAAATCAAAATTTAGATCTTCCCGATGAATCATCAAATAATCAAGGTTCAAGGGATCTTTTCTTTAATTCAACACTACCAAAATTAAGTCCCCTCGAACGTATGGATAAATTTTTGAAAAAATCAACAATTGTCGGCAAACGTTTTGTCGTTGAAAATGTCTCTGAAAACGAACATTTCAATCAAATTTCACGTGATCGACTTAATGAAATTGATGATGATTTCTCACCGAGACGATTTAGTAATGTTCGAAATATTGATATTGTCTCAAAAAGTGAAACGGACTCGAGTATTGCTTCAAAATCAAGTCTATTAGATGAAATTAGAAAAAGTAAAGAACTCATGTTAGAAAGTATGAGACTATCTGAACAAAAATTAAAAAATGACAGAGAGAAAAATGAAGACTATAATTTTTTAAAACTCAAACACAATATTATTATTGAATCCACAAAAGATTCTTCCTCAAATGATGAAACGAAAAATTTAGTTAAACAAAATTTAACCAAAGAACACGATGAATCAATTGGCGAGCTTAAAATTGAATATCAAGAAAAATTAGAAAATTGTAAAAAAGAATTAGAGGAGAATTTCCATCGACAGAGGCATGAGTTTGAGAGAAATCTTGAGGAAAAATTGGAGAAACTCCGTCGTGAAATGGAGGTGAAAGAAGAGCAAGAAATTCAGAAATTAGTCAATAAAATGGATGAGACGCGTAATGAAAATCTCAAGAAGGTGAAAAATGAATTAGAAGTTTGTTATGAGAAGGAGAGACAGGAGATTTTGACAAATTTAAAAATTGAGCTCGATCAACGAAAACACGAGCTTCTTGAACTTAGAAATCAAGAAATGGAAAAACTTGAAAATGATCACGAAAAATATTTGGACGATGAGAAAAATGCAAAAATTAAAGAGCAAAAAATTACCAAACAACACACTGAGAAATTGGATACATTGAAAAAGGATTTCGATAAAGAATTTGATGATTTAAAGACTGAACTTCGATTACAGCAGAGGGAAAAAATTACCAAGATCAATGAAGATCACGAGAAGTGCCTTGCTGAGATATTGAGAGATTTTAGAACAGATGTAAGTTTTTACATTTTTACCGTGTCAATTTTTATTATTATTATTATTATTATTATTATTCTAATAACATTTTCACTAATTTACATATATTATTTTTTTTTTTCATTTCCAAAACCAGAAATAAGAAACATGAATTTTTGTTTAGGAAGAACTCGCGCGGAAATTGTATAAGCAGAGGTTGGAGGAAATTCGTGGGGATTTTTCGAGAGACATAGAAAATGAGGTGAAGAGACAAAGTGATCGAAAGTCATCTTCGCCACAGGACAATGTTGATTACGAGAAATTGCGCTGTGAAAAAAGACTAATTGAAGATAAATATAATACTCTTAAGGAAAAATATCTTAAATTAAAAAAAGAAGTTCGTCTTGCTGTCGAGAGGAGAACTAAACGCAAAGAGGGAAATGCAACAGCTTCCGAAACTGATAAGTCAACTTCAGCCAGGACCAGAACTGATAAACCCGAATCCTCTGATCAAAAGTAAGTTTTTTCCTCTTTTTCTCATTTCTAGAATTTTTAAACTAATTTGCTTTTTCCAATTTTGTTTTTAAATTTATTTCTTATTGTGTTTTTTTTTCAATTTTTTTCACAAAACAAAAAAATTATTAATTACAAAAATTTATTACTACCATTTGTCAATACTTTTTTTTTCTTCAGCATGCAATTGTTTCTATTTTCAATCACTTTTTTTTATTATTGTACAACTTGGAATATTTCACAAGGTTTAATTTAGATTTTTCAAAAACTATGTTTGTTCGGCACTTTTTTTCTCGCACCATCATTTTTTCGTCAATTTTCCAACGTTTTCACGGTCAAATCTGCGAAAAATTCATTATTTATATACATATATATATATAAACATTTGTCGAATTATAAAGTTTTAATAAATTTTGGGAAGATATTTAAACAATAAATTTTCTATCGTATAACAATTTTTTTGTTAGAAATTTAAAAAAAAATAAGCAAAACTCTTTTTATTAATTAACATCTCATAATTAATGAATTGCTTAAAAATTAAGTTATATAAATAAAAATATAATAAAATATAATAAAAATAAATATTCTTCCCTTAATCAAGGAAAAATTATTTTAGATTATTCAAATATTATATTTTTCTATAAAATAAAAAAGGGCTGCATGAATATTCTTTCTAATTCATTAATCTGAATTTTCAATATATATATTGGAAATTGTGATTTGGAATTTTTATTAACTCAAATTTTATAAGAAAGAATTTTCATTAAGATGAATTATCATTCAACTGAATTGTTATTCAACAAAATTTTCACTTTATTGAATTTGTATTTAGAAAAATTTTCATTAAACTTAAAAAAAATGCAAAAAAAATTTATTCATTTATATTCTATTTAAAAATTTTGTTTATTTTATTATTTATATCTACTTAATTGAATCATTGTTTATTAAAATTTTTAAATATAAAAATCGCCAAATTTTCTTTTGGTCGTCATTTTTTGTCTAACCTAATTTTAATATTCATCCTAAAATGTTGATATTTTCTGTCAAATGAAAATTTGGTAATTATTTATTTACATGTACAAAAATTGAAGATTTTATAAATTAAAATTTTGGATAATAATTAATTATTGATTAAAATATAAATTCTACCATTTGTAAATTCAATTAAGTATAGGAATTATATGTTTTATAAAAATTCTACCAAATAAAAATGCAGTTGAATATTCTTTCAAATGGAATTTTGTTAAATAAAAAAATCGGACATTTAATTTTCTTTAATTTTTATTTAACCGAATTAGCAATCATTTTTTATTCTATTTGAATAAAAATTTAGTTTTAACGGAAAGTTCAATTTTATAAAATTTAACTAAATTTTACATTATAAATGAGATTTAGAAAATATTCATGCCCCCCCCCCTTACAAAAAAAATAAAACAAAAATGAACCGTGAAGATGTATTCTCACCGCCATACAATTCACCTTAATATCTGGCTATAGGCCTTAACTTGACCCTATATAGATCACCTTTAAAGAAGACACGCTCGAATTCCTTAACTCTCACGAAATCTCAAGAGAATCAAAGTCAAGGACATAGTGCAACTGAAGACTCGGATGATCAAAAAGTGATCACAGGATTTCCAGGCTCAATTGGAGGAACAGTGGGAACGAAAAATTTATTGAAATTTGAATCTGACGATACAACAACGGCAAGTGAGACAAATTCAAATTTCTTGTCGAAAAAGAAGAAGAATTTCACTAAGAGAACAACAAGTACGAGCCGTTTAAATAATAATATGAATCAAAGTGAAAATCCCGTGGAGAATATAAGAAAACAGTTGGAGAAATTGGAAGATCTTGGTGATCAATTACCTAGCAATGAAACTGCGTATACCTTGCGTTATCCTTTCCAGGATAAATGTGAGTCTTCCAGAGGCGATACTGCAAAATTAAGTTAGTTGAGAAATATAAATATTAAAGTATCTGAGAGAACAATTTTCTTGCATGGATTTTCGCTTTTCACATGGTATATATATATATATATAGGATCTTGGTAATTTGAATTATGTAACTGAAACTTTGCGGTGTTTTTAAGTCCCTTTAAGTAGTTCCAAACTTTTGTCTATATAGAAAGTCGATTGTAATGAAATTATTAATTAGTTATCGATCGCATCATATAGTTAAATAATTTGACAAAAATTTGTTTAAAAAATTAATTGGAAAAAAAGTTAATTCATAATTAATTAATTATCAATAATAATTACTTTCTATTTCTCTAATATTTCTAATCTCATTTAATTTTCTATTTCCCTAATTTTTATAGGAAAAAAATTTGTCAACATTTTTTTTTAAATTCATAAAGTGGTCGTGACTAATAAATTTTTTGTTCCCTATTTACAATTCACAATTTATTTATAATCGATTCTAAATTCATAAAAAATTTTCTCAATATTCAGTAGATCCTCTCATTATAATTTGCCTATAATCCAGATCCTAAAATATAATACGTAGATTTCGATTCTTTCCGATACTTTGCTGTTTAGAAAGTCCTTGTGAAATAAATACTACATCCACATTGTGTATAATTATTATATTAATTATTTAGTTATAGTAAATAACAAAAAAAAATTTTTTTTCTTTTTTTTTTTAATGAAAGATTTTAATTCTTAAATAAATGACATTTAGCTCCAGTATCCGCATCATCGGAGTTGGAATTCTTTAGACATCGAATTCATGTAGAACGAGATTCGGTGAGAAGAGCTCGAGAGGCACTGAGGCAACAAAGAAGTGCTTTTCAAGGTAGACAGAAAGCTTGGAAGCAACGAAGCGCGAGGGCCACTTTGGAGCAGCTGGTAAAGGTACGGATCTAATTAGTTTGACTCTTGACCCAAAATTATTTTCTAAAATGTTTCATAATCCCAAAAGTCAATAGTCATTTGTATTCAAATCAGTGGAAGAATGAGAGTAAATATTTCTTTATAAATATAGAAATTCTCATTAATTATTAACGAAAACCTTTTTTAGAATCTTTGATTTCAATTTATTGATGAGGGAATATAAATAATAATTTTTTATGCAAAAAAATAAAAACTGTTTTTTTTTTTTTTGGTAAAAATATTTAAAAGATAGTAAGATAATTAAATATAGAAATAAAATATAAATAATCAAATTGCAAAATTTTAATCAATAACTATATAAAATTAAATGAATTAAAATGTTTGGAAATTAATAAGAAATATTATTATTTGCCATATTTGCGCTCGGAAATATATATAATCGGAAATGTTAGTATATATATAAATAAATTATTTGTATTTCTATATATAGGAAGAAAGAGAGCTCTCCGATATGGAAGTAAGCTTACATCGAACTCGTAGTCTTCTTGGGGAAAAAGTTATTCACCTCAGGCACTTGGAGCAGTCTTTGGATCGAGTGGCCAATGCAAAGAAGAACGAAAATGATGCCACAGTTGTGAAAAACGATGAGCAAACGTTGAGTGATATGTCGAGTGCCAGTAGTGGTTTTAGTTCAACAGATCTTGGCACAGACACGTTCATGGGTCAGTTTGCTTTTCTATTTATCGTCGAGCTTCATAAAAACAATATCTTTACTCTCTCAATTTATGTTTCTTCATTTCTTATTATTGTTATTGGATTTTTTTTTCAAGTTGAAAAATTCAATTGATGCGAATTCTACAATTTTTTTTTCTTATTAAAAATATTGAAATATTATTAGAATAATTAATTTTTTTCGTTTTAATTACATAAATGAAAGATTTATTATTTATTAATATAAAATATAAAATAATTAGTGTAATTAAATTAATACAAAGTATAATTAGAAAGAACATATTTTCTTTTTACATTTAGATAAACCAGATCACTATCAGGAATCAACGGAAATAATTGCGAGCTTGGAAAATTTGAATTCAGAAATTCGTGAAATTTGGGGTGTTCTGAATAAACGACAAGATAACAATGTTCCACCTCCGCCAACATTGATGTACTCGGATCTTGGATGGTTGCCATATCAACACTTAACGTCTCAACCGAGTAATGTGCAAGGTCAATCAAAAATTCTTTTATAAATTTCTCTTCAACTTTAATTAGAGATGTGTTATTATTTTCTTTCGTTCTTATAATATAAATATAAATATGTAGCAGAAATTTTCTCTCACTATATATCTTATAATGTTGAATTCTCTATATTCTTCTATATAGCAATAAAGATGGCACTGTTTTCTTAAGCTTTTATTAAGCACTGCACGATTCCGTCCTCTATAAATTTCCTGATATATTTTTTTTTCTCACTCATATATTTCTTTAATATACAGTGAAACCTCAAAAAATTGCAGGAAAAGTGCCCTAAGAGAAGTTGATTGCGATTTTAACGAGGTTCTATTGTATCAGTTTCTAGAGGCATTAGAAAAGAATTTTAAACTTACTTTATCCGAATTTCCATTTAACAGAAAATTCTAATAATCAAATGATAAGCAGAAAATACATAAATTGAATAGGAAAATTTTTTTTATTTATTATAATCCCCTAATTTTTGTGACAAACGAAATTTCTGATAAAATGACTTTAAAATTTTTTTCTAACACCTCTTTATTATATTCGATAATATTGTTTCTTATGAAAAAATCATCAATTTTTATTTATAATTATTTTTTTTTCACAAAAATTAATATTATATGGATCAATTTCTTACTTAAAAAAAAATTTTATTCTTCAATAAAATTTTTACAAACGAAATATTAATTGTAATAATTAATGTTTTTCTAATGCAACTAAAAAAATTTATTCATCTATTTAAATGAAAAATTATTTATCAATATACTTTAAATTTAAAATATAATTATCTTGATTCTTTAGTGTGGCTTTTTTTTAGATTTAAATTGAAAAAAAAATTATTATTTTGAAATTGAAACGATTTGAAAAAATTGAAAATATTCATAAAAGTGTTTCGATTAATATCAGCAGCTTTTGGTACACCGAACATCCAGTCGAACATCCTGTCGCAACTGTCAAGTGCACATCCACCAACGGCAAATACACAAAATATCATCGCCCAATATGGACCCAACAGTGGTTTTACAACAAGCGTTGGAACAGTGGAACGTGCCACATCAAATCTTATGGAAAGAACAAGGAATCTTAGGGATTGGCTACGACAAGCGAGAGTCGAAACTTCTGACCTGGTCAGTCCAGGACAAGCCACTCTCTAAATATGTTATAGAGAAAAAAGAAAAACTAAAATCACATCCCTCCGTGATTAATTATTATTTCTCAAAACAATTTCTAGAGTTTTGTATAACAAACAATTTTACTAAGGTAACAAATTTTTTTTTCCATTTTATCAAACATTTTTCTAATCATATTTATTTTAATTTTTAGGTGATTTTATTTATTTTTTTTTAATTTAAAATTAATTACATTTACGTTCGGATTTTATTTAAATTTGAATTGTATTTGTGTTGAAATTTCTTCAAATGTATTTATATTGAAGTTTTTTTTTATTTTTAGTTTGAATTTTATTTTAAGTTGATGTTTTTTAATTTAAAGTTTATATTTCAGTTGAAGTTTTTCTTAATTTTTAACATTATTATATAGATAGTTGAATTTTATTTGAATTTTATTTACATTGAAGTATTTTAATATAATGTTTTTATTTACATTTAGATTTTGTTTCTTGAATTTTATTAAATTTAAGTTTTCTCGATTTTTATTAAAAATAGCAAAAATATTCATCTGTTTATATTTTTGTTAGTAAAGAATAATATTTTTAAATATTATTTATAACCTCTTTATTCTGGAACTCTTATAGTTAAAAAAATAATAATAACAACTGCTTAAAATCAAAGACGAATTTTTTAAAACTGGTAAAATATATTTCTCTTGGGATGGAAGTATAATGTTTTAAAGCCAATAATAATTGTTCCTAATTTTGAGTTTTTAAATTCGAATAATGCGAGACACACAATTTAGCATATCGTTTTTTTTTAAGAAAAAAAGAAACTGAATCGATAATAAACTACATTTACCGAGATGTAGAAATTTTTAATGATCTAACTCCTTAAAAAGGAATAAATAGAAGTAGCAAAATGAGTTTCTCAATTTGCAAACCGATCTTATATTTTCTTAATGCCGCTTTTTTCGAATTGGGTTCGAGCGAATCTTCTATTACGATATTTTATTTTGTATGAAGTGCATTTATTTTTACAACGAAAGAAATGAAGGTATACAAAATGTTAATCTAGTCAAGATTGTATTATAAAGCCAGAATTCTTTTTATATTTACTTAGTTTTTAGAAATAAATTATTTATATATAATTTATATGATGAAAAATTTTATCAAAATGTAATTTACACAGCGAAAGTAACTGTTCATAAATAAGTAAATTACCAAAACGAATATTAAATATAAACATTTTTTTTTTAATTTTATATTTTTATTACATTTTTTTTTATTTTTCACTTCTTAAAATAGAAAATTCTGGATTTATGAGACAATCACGGTAAATTATGAAAAAAAGTGATGCGAATCTCAAATCATTAAATATTATAATTATACCCTTGTACATGTTTTCTTGTAAATATATTGTAATTATGATTGTAAAATAGAGTCGTGGTTCGTTAAAGTTAATCAGTCCTTTTGTATATTTTTGAAAATTCAATTTTTTTCATTTTAAAGGAAAAAAAAAGATGCGCAATGAATAATATGCAAATATTTCTATATATTTCATATTTTAATTTATAGTAACGACGGTGATATTGTATGATATTATTAATTAGTATAGTTTTTTTTTTGTTTTGCTTGTCTCTCCCCCTCCCCACATGTGATAAATATTTCTGCAGTTAAAAAAATAACGATACATTTGTTACCATTTGTATATCAAAAATTTAAGTTTTATGTATATTACACATTAATGAGTTTATCCCTTAAGCTTTGTAGCGTTGTCAATAATTCAAAAGTACCTAGAGAGTTTAGACTATTGTTAAATTTTTTAAGGGTATGTGACACATTGTGACGTCACCAGTTTAGGTTCTAAAAATTTTTATTTTTTAACCTATATATAGAGGAAGAAAATTGAAATTTTAGAAAATTAAAAAAAAATCACTTATTAAATATAATAACAAAAAAAAATGTAAAATAAATTATATAACAATGTAATTTAATTATTTTAAAAAAAATGTTAAAAATTAATATTTAAAAAAATATTTTTAATAAAATATATTCTAATATTAAACATAGTAAGTATAGTACGAATAATTTACATTTAAAAATAATAATTATTTACTTATTTAGCAATAATAAGAGGTAAAAAAAAATTTTTTAATTAAAAAAAATTAAATTGTATTTTAATATTATTTATAATTTTTGATGATATTCAAGAATGAGAATTAGTTTTCACTAATTTTAATGTAATTGATTTTGTGAATCGATTGGTGACGTGATTAATAATTATTTAATTTCAGTGACACACACCCTTAAGGAATTACAGTAAAAGTAAACTGTGCAATTTGGATATAAAGACATCCCCTTGTTATATGCCAAATATTTATCAAATTATAAGAACCAATAGTTACCTGATTCATATTAGACTTATATTAATTGTACTTTAAGTACTCGATCTTGAATAGACGATTTTTAACGGATCGCATTAATATATGTATAAATCTATATACAATAATACTAGTAGTGTTTAAATAACATTTTGGTCATTGACCTATTTGAAGCTATATTTTGAAATTTTAGACAAAATTTTCTCATTTCTCTTTCTAATTATTGCGGTAGTTAAACTAATTTTTTTTTTATTATTTTCAAAAATTAATTGAAAATTATGTCTTTTAATCGATTCTTTGCTATACTATGATAATTGGTGCGTTTTTTTAAAAATGTTATCCCAATTTTTGGAATATAAATATTAAGATTAAAAATGAAAAAAATATATAATGTAAAAATATATATACCTATACCTGAATATTATACTTTAAATAAAATATAAATAATAATAAAAATATGAAAGATTATTAAAAAACAAAAATATATATTATTATTATTATTATTACTCAAAACATAATATATAAAATATTATTTTAAAAATGTAAAATATTTAAGAGAAAAAACAAAATTATTTTTTAATCCCATATAATTATAATAAAAGCGTACCAATTGGAATTGTTAAAAGTGCTTTGAAGAATAAAAGAGAATAAATTATTAATAAAATATAATAATGGAATAAAATGGGAAGGATAATCTTTGAGATACTCAGGGAATTTCTGTGTGAAAATATATGCACAAAAAATATATTGTGGAAGTTTTCGACAATTTACCTTTGTATATAAGGAATTTCAAAATGAACTCTCGGATTGATTTTATTTAAATAATTCTTCAGAAATAAAAAATATGTTCAATTCTTCACAAAATTGAATTTTTTAAAATACAAATTCATTTGATAATTTTTATCAGAACATTTTTTATGAAAATGATCTAATTAAAAATGCTTTTTAAAAAATCTTTTTTTATTATTAAAAAAAAAACAATTTTGTTTCTGAAATTTCAAAATATGGAATTCGTAGTACCGTCCTGCTAGTATAATGATTGTTACACTCAACAGTATTTTTTCCTATTGCCTAAAAAAGCTCATTTGTTATATATATGTAATTGAATTAATCATATTTTAAATGAATTAAATTTAATATGAATTTCTTAAGCTATATGTATGATATATTCAATAGTAAGATCTTATCTTTTACATAGAATATCAGTGAGTAAATGTGTAATAGAAATTAATTTTTTATAATTTCCTCTAACATCAAGAACATAGTTTAATTTTTTTAGCTGATTAATGCAAATTGAATGAAAAAAAAAGAACCATTTTTTTTATTGTCTAGTCGAAAATTTCTGTACGCCTTAAAAAAAAACCTTTTCTATATAAATGAGACTTAAAAAATTTATATATCAATTTCATTAAATATATATAATAATGAATTTCCTACTGAATTTATAATTAATTAATTTAAAAATGATTTCTTATACATTAAACTAATTAACTAATATCTATCAATAAGTTTTTCAAGAGTGAATTAATATACATATAATAATTATTAATTAATTGGTCATTAATTATAATAATGACTTAAATCATATATGAAAAGGAAGAAAAATTTTACAGAAGTTTTTGACTGCAGAAGATAATAATTCTATAATATAATGTGTGAAACAGTGACTTTTGCACTCATCAAACTTTTGCACCTTTCACATCTCTCCCCCCCCCCTCTTTTATAAATATACATAATCCTGATTATAAAAAAATAGTCATTTTTATCTCAATTGTCAAATGAAAATCAACAAAGATGTGTAGTAGATCGTAAGTTGTCTTCCACGAGAAAGATATGAAAATATTTGAAACTTGCCTAAAGAATAAAGGTATATATATATATATAAAAAAAAATATATTATATATTATATTATGAGTAGTTGTATATGTAGATAAATTATTTGTGGCAAGATGTATTTATTAAAGTAAATGAATGTTTACAAATGTATAGATCATTTTCATTTGTTGATCTCTAATAAATATGAAATATGTATATCAAATTAGCATTCATACTTTCAAATATCTCATCGTATTTAAAAGAAATAGTGAATGAAGAAAAAATTTAAAATTTGTTGTTTATTATTTATTTAAATTAATTTTAAAAAACATTTTTTTTTTTAATAAAACAATAAGTTTTTAAACATTTGATCAATAGGGGAATTACACTGGAACCTTGGTCTAATGAACATAGTTTAAAAAAAAAAACCACTAACCGAGGTTCTAGTGTAATTATTAATTAATTAATTTTTATTAATGAATAAATAAATTTAAGATAATTAATAATTAATACTCTTTTTTAATTATTATTTTTAATAATTTTTGTTTAATTATTAAAAATAATTATAATTATTGTGTAAATAATAAACAATCAGTGTGATTTTGCTCACAGACCTCGGAATTATCCTCAAATTCTTCTAAACTTGGTAGCCAAGAAGTAATTTGACGAAATGGATTTGAATGTTTTGTTTGTAAAGAAATTTGTGCAGCGCGAATCACAGGAGTTGTTTTACAAATTAAAAGTCTCACGCAAGCTGTATCTAAACCATCAATATCGTCAATTAATTGTTGTGGAAGAGTTGCATCTTGTGCTCTTTTTATCAAATTTTGAATCTGAAAATAAGAACAATAATTATTTTATTTATTTATTAAAAATTTATTTTATACTATATTTATTAAATAATTTTATTAATATATTTATTTGGACAAAATTTATTTTCAGATTAATTCTTTTTTTTAATATTTTTTATGCACTGACAAAAATAATTTAATCAGTTATTTGAAAGGTATTTATTTTTTTATTTATTTGTTTCGAAAAAAAAACATTAATTTAATGATAAGTGTCTGATTAAATTAATTTTTTTTTATTGTTCTCTAATTTTTATTTTACTTTCAGAGAAATTGAAAATTCTTTTATACTGAAAAATTTGAATTCTACCTTTTGGCTTTTATTTTCCATAATTAATTTGTAGGGATCGGGCAAATCGTTATTCTCATCAGAACTAGCAGCATCAATTCGTGGAGTGAGATCAAATAATGATCCTATCTGTGTGTGAGTAATAAATAATCTATATTAATAAAATCAGACTTTTGTCTGTACATTGCTTCAAATTAATTTTTTCTTGCATAGTTTATCATTTTAAGTAGTAAAGATAACAAATATGCCAAAAATAAAAATTCTGTCTGTCTGTCTATCTGTCTGTCTGTCTGTCTGTCTGTCTGTCTGTCGTCAATATTTTGTACCGGCACAACTTTAAAACGGCTCAACCGATTGAGGTGAAACTTGGCAGTGTATTCAGTCTTAACGTAACTTAAAATCTTAGCCATATTTGATTAAAAAATATTAACATGAACGAAAGTTATGACATTTTTTCAAAAAATTTTAAAAAATCAAAAAAATGCAAATTTTTTATTTTTTGTCAGATTGATTTGAAACTATTTGTACCTAATTTTTTCACATAAATACAATCAATTTTTTTATTAAATTAAGTAAATAGTGTGAATTTAAAGGTCTAAATCAAATTTTTGAATTTCCAATTTTTTTAATAACATTGTAATATAAGAATTCATTATGTTCAACTTTTTATAAGTAAAACAATAATGTTTTTAGTCTGTTGGGTATTAAACGCAATCTTAGCTGCACACCAATGAAAAATATTAATTTAAACAAAAATATGACACTTTCAAAAAATTTAAAAAATTTAACATTTTTTATTTTTTGATAATTCTTTACTAAACGTTCTTTATTTAAAATTTTGTGACCAATTAAGTATGCTTTTAACAAGAAATTTTAAGAATTTTATCAGAATTTTAAAATTAATAATTGCAAATCTGAATATGAAATCAGATATTGTAAAAATAAAAAATCGAAAATTCCTTTTTTACTCTTTGAAATTAGCAATTATTATATTTAAATTATTATTATTATTATTGAATATTATTATTATTATTATTATTATTATTATTATTATTATTATTATTATTATTATTATTATTATAGATACAAATTATTTTTAAATATAATAAAACTAAATAAACTAAATAAACTGAAATATAATATAATAAATATAATAAAATTAAATTATTTTCATAATTACATCCAACTATACGTGTTCTCCTGTATTAAAATATCTTTTTATAAATTTTTAATTATTATTTATTCAATTCAATTTAATTTTTTCACTGCTTTTAATAAAATTAAAATAATTTAAAATTGTATTTAATTTTATAGTATTGAAAATAAAAATTATTTTAATCAATACAATTTAAATTAAAATTTTAAAAAACTTTAAAAATTATTTAAAGAATAAATTTTTAATAGAAAAATTTCTTTTAAAAATTTATTCTTCAAATAATTTTTAAAGTTTTTTAAAATTTTAATTTAAATTGTATTGATTAAAATAATTTTTATTTTCAATACTATAAAATTAAATACAATTTTAAATTATTTTAATTTTATTAAAAACAGTGAAAAAATTAAATTGAATTGAATAAATAATAATTAAAAATTTATAAAAAGATATTTTAATACAGGAGAACACGTATAGTTGGATGTAATTATAAATTTCAAAATTTATTAAATCTAAATATTATAACCGTCGAAGACGGGTGCGACAGCTAGTTAAATAAATAATTACAATTATTATTAATAATAATAATTATAAAAATTAATTTTCATGATTAATTATTATGAAGAAAATTAAATAATATTGCAAAAATTACGTCCAAAAGAAGATTTTAAGGAAGTAAAATTTTTTAATTATTTTGTAAGAAAATTTATTGTTTATATTATTTGTTAATTTAATTAGGTTTAATTTAAATAATTTATATAAATTCATATATTTCATAAAATTTGACAATATCTTCTTTTTTAAATGATTATACGTAAGAGATATTTATTCTGTGCTTAAATAATAATTTTTTTTTTTTTTTATTCAGCATACCATTTGTGCGAGAAAAATAACACTGTTGACTGTGATGGCTGTTACTTTTTGTGAATCTAATCCTAATAAGCGAAAAAATGCTGATACAAATGGAACAGGACCAAAGGTTCCTTTTGTCTTTTCTTTTTCTTCATTATTTTGACCATTGTCACCTCGTCTTTGACTTTCTTTTCGATTCAAACTTGCCGACACCAAATTCGCAATATCTTTCACAGTATCTAAATAATTTTTAGCATTGCGCAATCCCTCTTTTATTTTGTCAAATACACCTACAAAAATTAAAAAAAAAAATTTTTTTTTCAATTTTTTATTTTTCAATTTGATAATTAAAAAAATATTTATTAATTGAAAAAATGTTGTTAAAATATGTTGATTAATGTTTATTAAAATAATATTAATGACAAATTACCTCCATTATCACAAAATGTGGGTAATGCAGAAATTACAAGTAGAAAACAAAGACTAACAGTAGTCATCTTTTTAGAACAATGTCGTTAGATAGACTGAAGAAGACTAATTTTTTTTTCTCTCTCTTCTAGAAAAACGACCAGGAAAAAAGCAATTATTTTATATTTGGATAATCTTTAACACATCTATATATACATATATACTATATTTCTTCTATATATACCTACGCGTGTATTTGACGACAAAAACCCATTTTTTTTATTATTGTTCTTCACGCATTCTCAGCCAAGCAAAAAGGAAGACATCGTAATTTGCAGAAAAAAAAAAATTATTCAACGACACACAGTTTACTAGCGTATTTTGTGCATAAAACGTACAACGTCTTTGACTGAAAAATTCAAAATCAAACAAGTACCTTGTCCCATTATCTGTGAAGAAAAATTTTTTTAAAATCAAATATGTCTTCAAATTGTCGTTTATTTATTGTCATTGTATTTTTAAGTAATATTTTTCATTTTATACGTGGAATGAAAGAAGATTTGAATTTTTATTTACAGGAAGTGGAAAGCCTCAGTGAATTGCCATTGAATCGATTGATTCAATTGAAATCTGCATTTTCCGACAAAAATAGTGAGTATCAAATTTTTTAAATATTGATGAATTTTTTACTAATTTAATGATTTAGTTAGATTTTTTAATATATATTTTTTTAATTAAAAATAATTAATTATTTTAATAATAATGAATTTTGAATTTAATAATTTTTATTTAAATTTTTATCGTATAGATAATGGAGAGAATGGAACTCTATCTGTGAGCAGTAGAATGTCATCTCTTTCACTTCCGTCTGCTCTTCCTCTTAGACGAAGCGATAAACAACCAATAAGACGATACGAGGAATGGCATGAAAAAGGAGAAAAAGATACGAAAATTTCAAAAATTTTCCAACTCTCCATAACGACATTGTCATTTTTGGCGTTTGGCGGTTACCTTCTCACATTAATTATTATGGCAATTAGACGTACAGTTACTCCAACCACAGCAAGCGTAATAGTTCTCTCGGTATGAAAATTCCAAATTGATTTACAATTATTATTTATTTACTTTTATATTTATTACTTTCTATTTTGCTTTTTTATATTATTTATTATTCATAGTTCAAGCCTTTCGGCTTTGAACGAACTTTCTGTACACACAAATAAAATTATAATTATTAAAATATTAAACAAAAATTTCAAGATAAATACAAATTTAAATTCTTTTGCTTTTTTATATTATGATGCTGATTATTATGTATAAAATGTATTATTATATTCGTTATATTTTTCTTATTTTGTTTTTAATGTAAATGTGTATATATATTTATTTATTTATTTTAATATGGAAAAATTATTATTATTATTTTAATTTTTATTTTAAATCTGATACTAAGTTTTTTCAGGGTATATAAAGAATTTGAATAAATTAAGACCAAAGAGAAATCTTTTCGTATTAGATCCAATGGAAAATGAATTTGATACTGAAAAAATGTATAAAGGAATGATTATGCTGTCTCGAGGATATGCTCTTTATAATCAGTGAATATAAAGACGATAAATACAATGCGAAAGTATAAGCAAAAAAATTTAATTTAATTAGATAATTATGGAAAATAGAAAAAAAAAAAATTTCTATTTCAATGAATATTGTTTGAAAAAAAAATTGAAGTCAAAAGTAATAATTTATTTAAATGCAAAAAATCATCAACATTTTTTCTAACGGAAAAAATAAATTTTGTTATCAAAAAATGTTTTCAAGTATAAAAAAGTCGTCAATAATAAATTAGACGTCAATGACATGAATGTCATTAAATAATATAAATAAATAATTATTTAAGAAATGTGTTTAAGATTATATCGAAGACAAAATTATTATAAAATTTATTTATTTATAAATTTCAAAAAAGTAAATAAAAATATTATTTAGCTCATTTTTATTTATCATAATTTATGTATGATTTGCATTTAATGATAAAACGATAACAAACTATGTAATAATTGTATTGTTTACAATAAGTGACGTGGAAATTGTGATTCAGAGTTTCACTATTTACGTAAAAATGACAACACCTATTGCATATATATAATATTTTTAATTATTATAACCTGATCTATCGTATGATTTGACGCGCCTCCTTTTTAACCAATCAGAAGTCAATTTGAACAAACATGTTTATTTGTATTTTTGAGATAATTTCAAATATATTATATGTGTATTTGCCATTTATCTACGCGTAAATTTTCATTTAAAAGTTTGTGAATATTACGTCACTATATTTATACTTGTATGCGAATAACATAGTTTGACCGCAGATAGCATGTAAACAAATCAAGTTTATTGAACAAGGCAATAAACTCAACTTGCACTTACGTAAAAAGAAAATCTTATGTTTACCGATTTTCTGTTATTATATTCAAAATCATATGACAAATTTAATTATTATTTTCAATTTTTGTTTTAATTTAATGAAAAAAATATTTTTAGTACAATTATATTATTAAATTATATTCTATAATATTATTATTAAATTTATATATCACTAAAACAATTAATAAAATGACAGAAATAATTAATAACAATCAATAGTTTATTAATAAAAAGGTAAATAATAAAATTATACAAAATTTTATCATAACAAATCCAAAAGTGCAAACAAAATTCTTTTTACTATTGCCAAATGGATACAACGCATGTAGTTTTAAAAACAAAACCACGTGTCGCATTTACACGTGTTTTTGTTTTTCAATAATCAATCGCACTATTTTACCCATTTCTGTAAATAAATAATGGCCAAATAAAAAAAATTTTAAATAATATTTTATTATTATAGAAAATTATAATAAATAAATAACGAAATAATTATATTATAATTATAAATAAAACAATATTTAATTATATGAAAATAATAAAATTAATTTCCAAATAAGAAATTCACTTGCAACTAATTATTAAATTTATTGTTTTTGCAATATCATTATTTAAAAAAATTAACTATAACTGTTTTAATTAAAAATGTTCACTTTGTATTATTTACTAATATATTTTAATACTTTTGCAGAGTTTTCTTATAAGTACATATATAGGAAATCAAAAATAAACGAAAAAAAAATGAACATCGAACTTTGCGTCTTAAAAAAAAAACGTTTATCAACATTAACATAAAAAATTAATTTAAAACAAGGTAATTAATTATTTATTAATTTGAATCGATTTCATGTGGAATTGATCAACAAATAATTGAACATTTTTTTCAATAATTTAATAATTATTAAAATTTACCGTTTATTATAATAAATAAATAAATAATTTTAAATGTTTCGATGTCTGATTGTTAAACTATTTTTTCATAGAAACCGTAAAACTGCATAATGTTAATTTAAATTAAATAATTTTCTTAATTAATGTAATTATTTATTTATTGAATATATACAAGTATACTGATAAAAAATGTCCCATTTTTACAGAAAATAAATTTAGTTTTTTCTAAAAATTAATTCAGTTATTAAATTAATTTAATATAATTTAGTTAATTTAATAAGTGAATTAATTAAGTTAATAATTAAATTAGTTAATTAAGGCAGTTAATTGAGTTAATTAATTATAATAGGATAGAATTTATTTACTGATGCTACATATATTTATATGTTTTATCTCAAAAAGTGTCTTTTTCATTAAATTAAATTTAATAAATTATTTAAAATTTGGTGATATAATTTTTTACTCAATGTAAAAATTTTTTTTTTCAAATGAATAAAAAAATAATAAAAAAAAAAAGAAAATATTGATGCACTCAAATTGCACCTGAATGAAAAACAAAAAACATTATTTTTACGCATTTTCATATCAAGACCAAAAAGTGACAAAAATATTTATCATGGTTCGAATTCCTAGAAGCAAAAATTAAACTAGAGACAAACCCACGTGTGCCAAATAAAAGTACTTTTACGACGCAGACGTAATCGTATGATCACTGCATCTGTGTGTATATGTATTCTATATAGTTAACATGTTTGTAGTTTATAAAAAGCCACGAAGACTCTTTGCCTCTTCAGTAAACCAAAAAACATTCAACCGAGATTAACATTATATACCTTCAAAAAATATACATTTCCTTTTATTTCTAATTTATATAAACAATTAAAATATTTTTTTAGATAGTTAAAAAAAATTTTAAATTATTTTCAAATGAAATAAAGTGAAGTGTCAGTTATAATAATTATAATTTTACAAGTTTAGTGTTTAAAGACTTTTAACTAAGTTTTTTTTCAACTATAAAAGTACTGTGATATCTGCAATAATTAAGAAGAGGTGAATAGATTTATGTTGTAATTTCAAAGTTCAAGATCATTTTTATTTAGATTATAATATGTATAATGAACAACTTTCTCGAATTTGAATATGATGCAACTTATAATTTTTGTCTTTTCTTTTCTATAGTGAAATAAAAATAAGATACAAACATCGTATTTAAATATAAAATAATAAATTAATATAAAAAAAGAAGGAAAAATAATTTTTTGAATAGATAAATAAAAAGTATAATATTTAATTATTGTTTTAAACTTGTTTTTAAGATTGAAGTTAACAATATTTTTATAAATGTAAAATTTTTTCAGTGACAAGGTGACTAAAGTTGATAAAAAGTTTTAAGAGTTAAATAAACATCCGATATGTCTTTGAGTAAAAATGTGCGACATTGTAGAAGATGCATTTCGTTATCGAGGTCAGTGAAAACTTACAATTTTTAAATTAATAATTTAATTTAAATTCAATAATGCCCCTGACACTTGTCACAATTGTGAATATAATATTCACTATGTCAATTTTTTACAAATTATAAACATTATTACCATAACTGAATTTAAAAATTTCACAATTACAATTTAATTAATCAAAATCAGTTTAAACAAATATTAAAAATCACATGTTAATTTTTTGTATTTTTCATTATTTTCATATTTATTAATTTTTGTTTTATTTTCTTTCATTAAATTATGTTTGTTTCATAAATTTTTGTCAAACACAACAAAAAAATAATAATTCAAAATATCGAGATATCGATAATCGATTAGTGCGATATATAACGATATATAGAATCGAAAAGTAGTTTGATTCGATTGTTTATTTACTTTTGATCTTTATTAATAAATAAGAAGAAAATATACAGAAATAAACAAGAAAAAATGAAGTAAAAGTGAGTGAAATTGACAGAGGATTAGAGTAATAATGTAGAAAATGCTAGTTATGTATTTTCCATATTTTCCTATAGTGTATTAGATCAGCTGATTCATAGTAGTGACACAATGACACAGTTTAAATAACACAAAACACATATGTCAGATTTTTCAAATTATTTCGATTTCCCGTTTGAATTTTAATTTGCAATACATTTCTAATGACACATAAGTAATTCAATGAAGAAGTAACAAAATACAGACAGAGTGATACATTGTATTTGTCATTGATGTTATTATTTTGTGCGGTTATATACAATTTTGACAGTGCTTTGTTTACAATACGCAGTAGTTCATAAATGTGTTTATAAATTTTATAGGTAAGAAAGTGTGATTAAATTATTGAAACGAATGTATTATACTTTTTTTTTATAACCTAATTATAAACTTCTATTTTATATTTGTTAATTATTGATTGTATTTTACGTTATATACAATTTACCTGAAATCAGTCAACAATACCTTTTGTTTCACTTCAATATGTAACTCTTTTGTATATATGTCATAGAAAAACAAGTGTTTTTTTTTTACTTTTGTTTACAAGTTTTTGATGACGAAAACGTAATTTATACGTTAATTAAAAGTTTCATTTTATTGTTAAAATTATAAAAATAATTCTATTTAATTATTATATTTATTAAATTAAATAATTACAATAAATAAAATAATATTTATAAAATGATTACTAAATTTTTTTTTTTTAATTTAAATTTTGCAATTACAGGCAATTAGCAGAAAATTCAAGTCGCGATGTTGGCGGAAATGGATCAACTATAACAGGAAATATTTTACAAAAAACAAAAATGTCAATGCCAAATCAAGGGAAATTTTTAGCTGTAATAAAAGATTTTTTAAATAAATCGGCGTATGAAAAAAATATTCAACTTATCATAAATAAAGATTGGATTGATTTTTTTCAAAAATTAACCTACTCTCAAATTGTGAATATAAGAAGATTTTCTCCCATTTTACAATTGAAATCATTCTCGACAAATAATGATGATAACAATAAAAACAATGACAGTACAAGAAAAGCCGTTGTTGTTAATATTGAAGACGAGAAAAGTGTTAATCAAGAAGAAAAACATTTAGTAAAACAAAAACTTAGCCCAGAATCAAAATTACAGAAACAAGAAATAAAGGTGATAATTCTATTTTTTTTTTTTCTATTAAAAATAATATTTTCAATTAATTTTTTAATTAATTTAATTAATTGTGAGTTAATTAAATTTATTTATTAACTATAATAATATTAATAATTTAAATTTACATGTTAAACATATTGAATTTCAGATGACAGAAGTTTTGCCATCGATTTCAACCGAGAAAGACTTTAAAGACCAAATTCTTGCCATCCCACAAGTTTTAGCGGCGCTTGTGCCAAAATTTAGAAGTCAAGATAAAGTAAAACCATTCATTATTCCAAAATGGAAAACAAACATGTACAATAATGTGTCGAAACACAGTATTTTATCGAGGACAAAACACGTTTTAAATAGTATTGCAACTGCAGAATCAAATACATCGAAATGGAGAAGAGTTGAGGATTTATTAGTACATATCGATCAATATCCTGAAGCTCGTTATCATGCCATTAAAGAAGGTGGAATTGCAATTTTATTGAGAATGCGACAAAAAACAAATGACAAACAAATTCATGGTAAGAACTTGTATTTATAACACTTTTAAATAAAATTTATATATTTTATTTTTATTTATGAAAAATTTTTATTTGAAGATTCGATTCGAGAAGCTTTAACTGTTTTGGGACACGTTGATCCGCTTCCTAATCGAGGAATCAGAATTCTCACCATTGATGGCGGTGGAATTCGTGGAGTTATGGTCGTTGAAATGTTAAAGAAACTCGAGCAATTAACGGGCAAAAGAATTTACGAATTGTTTGATTATATTTGTGGTGTCAGTACCGGAGCTATTCTTTCCTCTGTAATTGGTAAATATATTTTTATGTATATATATATTTCAAAATAATTGTTGAATTTCAAAAATTAAAAACTTTTTTTTCTCATCATTTTTCATGCAGCGACTATAAAAGATAATGGAGAAGGTATACGCATTTTTTTTAATGTTGTTTTTTTCAAATATTTTTTGATCATTCTTTTTAATTCTTTGAAATTAAGAGAATGAAAATTTTATTTTAAAGAATTAAAAAAATATCAAAATAAATATTTCAAAATTAATTCAAGAATATGAAAATTTAATAAATTATAAGTTGAATTAATTTTAATAAATTATTTCAGGAGGTGCTAAAAAGAAAACGTTGGATGAAGTTTCTATACTTTATAAAGAATTGAGTACACAAATTTTCACTCAAAGTCCTTTGAAAGGAACAAGTGGTCTTGTTTGGAGTCATGCCTATTACGATACAACTCTTTGGGAAGAAATGCTACAAGATCAATTAGGCGATAAGGAACTTATTAAAACTTCACGTGAACCAATGACTCCAAAGGTAATAATTTTAAATCAAAATCAAATTTTTTTTTTTTTATGTTTAGAAAATGAAAACAAATTTAAGGGAATTTGAAACATAATTATCACATTCTGTATATTACAGAAAATCAGTGAAAACAAACATAAAAAATATTAATTATTTGTAAATATTATTTAATTAATTAATTAATAACTTTTTGTTGTAGTTTTCAACTGTATCTGCAGTTGTGAATCTCGAACGAGTCTCGGCATTTGTTTTTAGAAATTACACTTTGCCACATGGCGTTGAAAGTCAGTATATGGGGTCTTACAAATATAAATTGTGGGAAGCTGTAAGAGCTTCAGCTGCTGCTCCAAGTTACTTTGAAGAGTTTAGAAAAGGAGATTATCTTCATCAAGATGGAGGTAATTATTTCATTTGTATCCTATTTTTTATTCAATTTATTCATCTTATTATTATATAAATAATAATAATAATAACAACAATTAATTATAATTACATAAAAAATATTATGATTTATATTTCTAATTTTCGATATATTGCTTCTTTTTAATTTCTCTTTTCAAGGAAAAATAAAATAAAATTCTGATGAAAATTTCAGGAATATTGGTAAACAATCCATGCGCTGTGGCCATTCATGAGGCAAAACAATTGTGGCCAAATAATCCAATTCAGTGTGTTGTTTCCTTTGGTACTGGACGAACACCTTGTTTAACTAATCCATGCAACGAAGAGGCAACAGAGGAAAAGGGCATTGCAGCTTCCAGTTGGAAGGAGAAATTTTACAAAATTCTAGACAGTGCAACGGATACAGAAGGTATAATTTAATTTCTTTTGTAAATTACGAATAGTTTTTAAATTATTGTATATTTAATCTATTTAATAATTACAATGAAATATAATTAAATAATTACTTCTCTCTCTCTCTTTTTTTAGCGGTGCATATTATGTTAAACGATCTTCTGCCAGATCATGCCTATTATAGATTTAATCCTTATTTATCTGAAATGTTAACAATGGTCGAGATTCGTCCAGACAAAATAGAACAATTGGAGCAAGATGTCGCAATGTATATTAGAAGAAATGAGGAAAAGTTTCAACAGGCAGCTGAGGCTTTACTTCAGAAAAAATCAATGAATCAACAAATTCAAGATTGGGTGAGAATGAAGAAAAAAATGTTCACCACATAAAATGTCTTTTGTCGTCGAAAAACATTTTATACATTCCATTTTCTATTTTATCTATTCTCCCATTTGATTAAAAATTTTTTAAATTGATAAAAAAAACACCAATTAAATAATTTGATCTTAGAAAAAGTAATACAATTTTTAACAAAAAAAAAGAAAAAAAGTTTTTTTTTAACGAAAATAGATAAAGTACAGAACAAAAAGTTTCTGTAAAATTTAGTTCAGTTTCATTTCTTTCATTTTATACAATATACGGAAGTGTAAACTGAATGTGTGTTATTTAAAACATATATACTTGAAAGTAAATGAAAAGTGATAATTGAATTCTGATTAGATCAAAAAAAAAAATGAAAGAAAAATTAATTTTTCTTCCTGTGATATTATTTATTTTTTTAATTTTTTAAATGAAATGAAAATATTTCACTCTCTAATTAATTTAAGAATTCATTATTTTAGTGTTTTAATAAAATTGAAGCATACGTTTTATGTTTAAATGTTTTTTTTTTTGTTTAATTTTCTCATTGCCTCTTTAATGCCAGTACTTTATTAAATAGACCAAAATGAGTATTATTTTTAAAAAAAATCAAGTTTCTTTGCTTCAGAGAAAATGAAAAACAACATTTTCTTGAATTTTAAAAAATTCTAAATGTAATTTTAATTTTAAGAAAGTATTAAATGTTTGCTGTTTGTTCAAGATGTTATATAGAAAAATGAAAATAATTGAAGAATTATTTTAGAATGTTAATTTCAAAATGTCTGTTTAGATATTATAATACCAGCTGAGTATCAAAGACTATTTATGTAAAAAAAAAAACATCCAATACAACTATTTATTACTATTAAATTATTTGTTTTTCAAAACGATTGTGAATATCTTTTTATGTACTTGAATGTAATTATAATAAACTATAAGATAAAAAGATGTAAAAACGAATGAAAAGTTTAATTCTATTCCTTCATTTTTAGTTTTTAAATTCAAAAAATTGAAAATAAATGTTATTTATAAAAAATACAAATTTTAATTATATACTATATTCATACATGATAATCTTCTTTTGATCTTTTTATATTTTCTTTGATTATTTTAATTTCAATAATTTTTTTAAAATTAGGCTTTTAATTATTAATATTTGAAAATGCGTGCCAAAAGTCACATGACTTCTAAACTAACATGGCGGCAAATGCATAATCTGGCGCGCGTTTTCCATCAGATCCCCTCAGAAAGTGAGGTTAAGTCAGTCATAAATTTTTATATTTACCGGTTATTTTCCAGTAAACAATTACTTGTTTAAATTTTGCCAATTGCGATAAAAGAATAGAGATTTTTTATTAATATTGTGTTTAAATATAATTCATAAATATGGGAGATACTGATTTTAATGAACTTTTACGAGAAGCTGAACAACTTTCTGCTGCTGTCGAAGGCAATGGTGAACTTCCTCAGGTCGAGAGAAATCTTCGACAAATATTGCAAGATTCCAATGAGCTTTTATCGCGTGTTATTCAAACTGGAGCTCAGGATAATCAGGTCCAAGCGTAAGTTATTATTTTTAAATAATGAATCTAACAGATTTTTAAATTTTCACATAGAAATTATTTTCATATAAAAATTTCAGTTATAATTTTCTTTATTTATTTTCTAATTGAATTTCAGTCATCTTCTTTTGGGTTCTCGAGGAATTGATTTACCACAAATCTCACAGAAATTAAATTCACTTAGTACTCGTCGAACATTTGAGCCATTGGATCCAATTGCAGACACAGATATTGTCAGTTATCTTCGTAACGAGAAAGAAAATGCAATTCTCTCCATTATTGATCAAGTCCATAAGGATGTGCGTAATTTATATTTACGCTGTGTTTATTTAGCCCGCTTATTTTAAAAAATCACCAAAATGAGAACTATTTAGTTTTCAGTAAGTAATTAAAATATTTTTTATTTTTCTTATTTATTTATTCTAGAATAATAAAATACATTTTATTATATAAAATGTATATTAAGTGGAATTAAAAATAAGGCAATCGTTTATTTAAATATATTAATGTGATTTAATACAAAGTTTATTTGCTCCAAAATGAATTGTTTTGGTAGGGTTGTTTATATATTTAATTAAAGTTGTGGTAAAAAACAATTTTTTGTTTAAACCAAATTTATTGTAAAAAAAACTGTTAAACTACAGGTATATTTATTTTCTAATAAATTATTAGAAAATAGTTTATGAAATTGTTTTCTATTGAAACTTAAAATTTCCAAATAAAAATTAATTTTTGAAATACAATTAAAATTCTTATATTTTATAAATACGTATGGGTCATTCCCTGGGAAATTTTCATTCAAAATTTTTTTTGTCCGAATCATTTTTTTTTTCGAAAAATAAGAAAATACGTATTTTTTTATTTGATGAAAATGAAGGATAAAAGGATAAAACTGAAGTTACCAACGTTGATTCAATGAAAAAAATAAAAGTTAAGGATTCTAATTCCCATCAAAGAAATTTATTTATTTTCAAACCTTTATAAACTATTCTCTAATAATTTATTAGAAAATAAATATACCTGTAGTTAAACAGTTTTCTTACAATAAATTTGGTTTAAACAAAAAATTATTTCTTTACCACAACTTTAATTAAATAATTAATTAAATTAAATATATAAACAAGCCTACCAAAACAATTCATTTTGGAGCAAATAAACGATTGCCTTACCGTAAAATGGGGTAAAGTCGACGTTTGCGGGTAAAGTCGGCCGGCGCTTTAAACACTTAAATATTGTATTTCATTTATTAATTTACATTAATTCTAACTACATTTTTAATAAAACTCGGATTTCTTCTGGAAAAAAGTAATAGTTAAACTTTAAAATGATTTAAAGCGCCGGTCGACTTTACCCCCAAACGCCGACTTTACCCCATTTTACGGTATTTTTAATTCCACTTAATATACATTTTATATAATAAAATATATTTTATTATTCTAGAATAAATAAATAAGAAAAATAAAATAGTTCTCATTTTTGTGATTTTTTAAAATAAGCGGACTAAATAGACAAAATCTTGCATTTCTCCCGCTAGCGGGCTAAATAATCTATCGCCACTATTCCTCCCGTTAGCGGGCTAAATAGACACAGCGTTATATTAACATTAATTAGAAAATGAAAGGAAATTATTCTTTGATATAATTTTTTTTTTCTATTTTAGACATTTCAATCGAATCGAGTACAACAATTGGAACATATTTTAGGGGAATGGAAACAAATGAGATATGAAATTATGAATGCAATGACTGCACCATCAGGTGATTTGGTCGATTTACGAGGAACACCACAACGTACAAAATTAGCAGGTTCAATGATCAGTGGACTTTCAAGTATGGAAGTTGCTTACGCAAAAGAGCTACAAAATTACAACGATCATGTTCTTCGTGGTGTTACACGACCGAGTTTATTTACACTTTTCGCTAAAGCCGCTGAGGCGTTTAATGACAAAAAAGTCCTCGACATGTGGCAAATGGTCAAGTGTATGATTGAAATTCCCCCCACGCCACGTGGTGATCAAATTAAATCACGTAGCAGTCCAGCTGTTGAGCAGAAAATTATTTTTCAAGCACGTTCATATCTTGAAAATCGTTATAAGGAATTTATGAATTCAGTTGTAAATGAGAATTTAGTTCAAGCAAAACGTGGCGGAATTCCAGGAACTTTTCCATTGGTCAAAAGTTTTGTTGGCATTAAAGTTCACAATTATCGTGATTTAGAGGATGTTTATGTTGACGATAAACCATTGTGGCCACTTATTTATTATTGCATGAGAGCTGGCGATTATAGAGCTGCTCTACAATGTTTGACACAATGTGGTTCAGCGTTTCAAGAATTTCGTCAAGCTCTCGAGGAAGCTGCAAAGGATCCACAACTACATCCGGGTAGTCGTACTGAATCAATTCTCAAATTACATTATCGTAAACATGTTCGATCTGCCACTGATCCTTATAAAAGAGCTGCATATTGCGCTCTCGTTCCATGTGAACCAGACGATCTTCATTCTGAAGTAATGTCAACGGCTGACGATTATCTTTGGCTGAAATTATGTCAAATTAGAGAGCAACCTGATCCTGAACATAAGCTAACATTGGATAGTTTACAAACAACGATACTCGAAGTTTATGGTAAGAATTTGAATTTGAATTAAAAATTAATTATTTAATTTAACGTTTCTTTTTTTCTTTTAAAGGAGAATCATATTACCACGCACACGAACAACCATTCTTGTACTTTTCAATGCTATTTCTAACTGGTCAATTTGAATCGGCGATAGAATTTTTGGCTCGTGGAGCAAGTGCTCGACATTTAGTTCACGCTGTTCATTTAGCAGCGGCAATGCACGAGCATAATTTATTGGCTGTTAGTCAAAGTGTTTTAGCGCCATTAATAAGTACTGATGTTGCTGATAAACCACCAGCGAGAAGATTGAATTTTGCGAGATTAATTTTACTCTACGTAATGAGATTTGAAGCTTCAGATCCAAAAGAAAGTCTTCACTATCTCTTCTTGCTAAGGTCTTTGTTTAATGTGTTAAATTATTAATTTTTATTTGAAAAAAAAAAATGTTTTCAAACCTCTATATGATTTTAGATGCATGAAGGATCCGTACGAAAGAAATATGTTTGCAGCATCCACTGCTGAAATGGTTGTCAGTGCAACGCCAGCAAATCGTGTTTTATTAATTGGAAAAATTGATAAAGATCGACGTTTACCGGGAATGTTGGATCAATTGCACATTAATACAGACGATGTTATAAATATTGCAGCTGATACAATGTACAAAAAAGGAGTTTTAGAAGATGCTGTTACAATGTATGATCTTGCGGGAAATCATGAAAAAGTTTTAAGTATAATGTGCATGTTATTGGCGCAAGTTGTTAGTCAAAAAGCTGAAGTTAATTCATTAAGATCACGATTACATGAAGCAGCAACTGACATGAGTATCAGGTAGAGAGAAACAAATTTATTTTTAAATTTAAAATGGAATATTGATTTATGTTAAATTTTTATTAATATTTTAAAATATATTTAGATATCAAGGAATGGCAATTCAGGCACCGTCCGAATTAGTAGCTGCTTTCTATACACTTAGAGATCTAATGGTGTTCTTCGATCAATTTCACAATGAACAATATCAAAGTGCTTTAATGGTAAATAATTAATTATCTAATATAAAATCATGTACTTTATTTTATCTGAATAATATCTTTTTTTTTTTTTTTGCAGACCATTGCGGAGTCAAAATTATTACCGTTAAATATGAAAGAAGTGGATGAAAGAGTTACAGCTTTACGTCGAGTGGCACCCGAAGTTTCTGGTACATTGGCCGATGTTCTTTTAGCGACAATGACAATTCTCTATAAGCAATATCAAAAATTACGTTCTTCAGAGCCTGGCGATGAAATTGCAAGGGAACAACAATTGCGAGATTTACGAGAACAAGCTCGTGCTTTGACAAGTTTCGCTGGAACTTTACCTTATAGAATGCCAAATGAAACTAATAGTAAACTTGTTCAAATGGAAATTCTCATGCATTGAACTCAAGATTTAAATAATGTGTGAAGACGTTACTGTAAATTAATTCTAGTGTAAGTTATTAATATTTTTTTATGTTTAAATCAATCTTTCGTAATAAAATATGAGGTAATTGAAACAATGTTTTGTTTTTTTTAAATTTAAATATGAAATATTTCATTATTATAACAATAGAAAATAATAACAAAATTCTTATAAAATTATTGTTGCTATTTCAATATAACTAAACTTAATTTAAAAGTGATTTGTTGAACGATATATTTATTTTATAAAATTAACAGCCTTATTGCAGTTATTAATCATATATTTATATACAAAAGTCATAAATTTTATCTAATATAAAAAAAATGTAATTAAAATTATTTCGATGAATAATTAAAAATTAAAGAATAGTTTGCTAAGTGCTTTAAATTTTGGTTAATAATAATTTAATCGTTATCTGATAGATTACATGATTTTAAAGGTGTGACAAACAAACTGCCACTGAGATCTTCAACTTTTCCTTCTTTCACCTAAAATAATTATTAAAATTTATAAATTATTAAAAATACAAAGTTTAATAGTCTGTACAATTGAAAAAAAAACTCACAGCTCGATAGTCGAGGATCATTTCCTTAAAGGCAAGAAAGTCCGTGAATGCTAAAAGAATTTCGAAAATTTCACCTTCTAACTCTGATTTTTTGTTACTGTTAGGAAAAAAAAAATGTTAATTGCTGTTTAATTAAAAAAAAAAAATTGTAATCTTTATTTATTAACTCACCTCAACTGTTTTAAAAATGTAGTCATTGAAAAGTTTGGTATAACTTTTTTAAGATTATTTTCCAAAAAAGTTTCTATGTCTCTATTCTGTAAGTAGAATTAATTAATTAGACATTTTTTTTTAATTAATTCAATATAATTGTTCAAAAAAACATTTAACGTCTAAAAAATTTCTCTGTTAATTTTTTGTTTTATTTCAATTCACAGATATAGAATTAAAAACTTACATAATCATTAAAAATATCCATGTAAATCAATTTATTTTCTTCAATTGGCTCAAAAATTTGCCAATATTTTTCTAAATAACGCTGTTGCAACGTTTGAAAATCATCCTCTGAAAAAAAAGTGAAAAATTTAATGTAATTACAATTTTCTTATCGTTATCTAGAATTTCAAATTTTACACCTACACGAAATGTGTTAAATATATATTAATTAAATTTAATTACCCATTAAAATATCCTCTATAAGACCAATAACCTCGTCAAAGGAGAAATCATCTACTGTTATTTTATTTCTTCGAAGGCAATCTAAAAGATCAGAATCGACAGAATTTGTAGCACAATCTAAACGAGAAATTATTTTAATTGATTAATTCATAATTTAATATAAACATTCATAAAAGTTATTAAACAAACCTCCCACATTCTGTGCCATGTTTTTCTAATAGTTTTGCACACAATGCAAACACTTTTATTATTTTTCTCCACAAAGTTAAAGCATCTTTTTTTTTTTTTTAATTAATTGACTTTGTCTCTATTATAAATTAATGCTTAAAAGTTGATGGATTTATTTATTAAAAGTTGCTACGAACAAATTATTGTAATTGTCTTTATCAGAATATGTTACCATAGCAACACACTGTTTCTTGAGTCATGATTGGCTGTTGTTTTTTGTCCAAAGAAAAATTAAGAATTTGATTGGTTTAAAGTAAAAATGGCGCCATCTCCTGGACGTTTTAAGTGACACCTGTAGTGCGCACATAACCTAAAATATGTTTCTCTGTCAATATTGTCAACATCGTGAGGTCCAGTTCACTATGAGCTTTCTTGTGCTTCGTTTGTAAAGTGTGGGTGTTTAAAAAAAATTAAGAATTATATTGTTGAAGTTATGGGCTCACTAGGAGCTCTGACTTTCATTCTTTAATTAAAACTGTAATTTTAAATCACTAAATAAGACAATCTTCCCTGGGCTACGATTATCTTCAATTAAGCACAATTTCTACGAGGTAAATACAATCTTATATATTCATCATTATCAAGATTTCCCTTTGTTCATAAGTTTTTTTTATGAAACCATTATTTTTCAGCAAAAAAAAAAGTGTTTTTCTTATTTTTGTTAAATGTTAAAAAATCAAAAGTTTATTTTTTAAATGAAAATATTGATGATTTTTGCCATTTTGTCTAATATTTCATGAACGTATATAATAAATTGAAATATATGCCTAAATTAGACATTAATTTTGCATATTTGGTAAAATTGTGTTCTGCGTGAAATTTACAATTCTCAGATGTAAAAAGACGTGCATGTCAAACGTGACATTTCATTATTATTTTGTAACAGAGTAGGGACGCCCTTGTGTTCAAAGTTCAATTTGTACTCCATTAGCAATAAAAGTTTCATCGCAAATGCAAATACTTATCGATATATATATATATATATTTACAATAAATTATTACCGATTATGTAATAAGAATATTATCAGGCAGGAGTTTTAGAAATTATTGATAAATGAATATTGAAAATTCAATTGGACTAATTAAATATATATTATATAAGAAAACGATGCAATTATGACCCTAACTACGCAGTTGAAAATTATTCTCTTTTATTTTCAGCATTGGCTCCAATTAAAATCTAGTGCAATTTGATAAAAAAAAAGTTTTCTACAATTTTCTCGAATGTTCACAGTGCAAAAGTGCATTTATTATTGAAAGAAAAATAAAAATAGACAAGTTCTGACGTAGTAGAAATGCAAATAACAAGTCCTAGATTGTTTTTCAGTTTAATTGTCAAGGTTGACGATGATTTTTATGTTTTTTAAATTCATATGAATTTAAATATTAACTTTGAGTTTTAAAAGAATTGAGAATATTTCTTATGACAATAAAAATCGCAAACATTGAATTTTAGAAAATATTTTGATAAAATTTTGAAAATGAGAAATTTTTTTTTGGAAACTTAACAAAATAATTTTACAGAGCATTTTTTTCAATTATATGAATAGATTTCAGGTTATAATTAAAAAAAAAATATATATATATATAGCTAATTAAATTTATGCAAGATACAATTATTTATATTATTGGCTTTGAGTTTTATACACCTGTTGATACGTCACGTATATCTATAAAGATTAAAACTAACAAAGGGAATTTTTTTCGACATTCTGAAATTATTTTTTTTGCTTAAATGGCTTCTTGCATCTTCTATAGAGTTAGGTTTATTATTGAAAAGGAATAAGATCAAAGTCTATTTTTATATAAAAGTTCTTTGTCATATACAAGTTTTGACCTCACTTAAATTTAGTGACGTCAACTTCAAATCGTTTGCAAGCATGAGTTATTGTTTATTCAAGATATGAAGATAAATGAAAGAAAAAAAAACATGTAAACAAAAAAAAAATACATGTAAATATACATGTTTTAAAAATACACAGTTCGACTTTAAAAAAAAAAACGCAACTTATTTCAAGTTTTATGATGTGAAATACAACTAATGAACTTTTTTTTAAATTCGAATAGCATTTTTCTATTTAAAATTGGAATGGAGTAGCACAAAATAATTATCATTAATTAATAATTAATAATTAATTATAACAAATTGTTTTATACTTTTTTTATATATAAGGCAAGTTTATGTTCTCAAAAAATTAAAATCACATATGATTAATATAAAAGAATCATAGCAAAAAAAAAAAAAAAAACTTGAATTTTTCCAGATGAAATTAGCAACTTCTCTCAAGTTATCATTATAACCTTCATCTTTCAAGAATTAGCAAATAATAAATTTTTGTCCAATGCTCTTATCTAATTTCTATTTTTCTCATAGTTTTTTTTTTTCGCTAATCAATGTTAAAGTATTTTTGCAACTGATAAATCGAGGAAGTATTACCTCTGATGATGTTTACATCAAAGTTAACACGTTTCGTATAAAGACAACAAAAAATAAATTTTTATCGGTTAATTATTATCTTCGTAAATTCTATATTCAAGTTCGCGGTAAGATTATACATAGTGCGTAAAATTTTTCATTATTTATGATTGTTTTATTCGTGTAATTATTTTTTAAAAAATTTAAGCAAACATTAAAATTATCTTACTTAAAATTTGATAACTTTGTTCACAATTATTTCGAGTTGTTGGCACTGGCACTTGGCCAATCATTTAAATCTTGCAGCATTTACGGTAAATTAATGTCATGTTGATGATTATTAGTCTTTGAATATTTCATTGTCACATTTCAAGGATTTATTGTTTAGATTATCATTTTTTTATTATGTAATTCTGACCTTTGACTTTTTAAAGTGAACGTCTAGTTTTAATTATAATTATAAAAAAAAAATGATTAATGGATTTATTATCTTTATTTAAACATGAAATTTGTTAATAATAATTATTATTATTATTAAATATGTATTATTTATTATTAAAATTTTTTTAGAACGTGCGACGACAGCCCACCCTTTTTTCGAAAGGGCGGTGCAGAGTGGAAGGGAAGAGAAAATTTTGAATATCGAGCTGAAAAATTATTATTAAAACTGATAGATTTTTGAGGGAGATGAGCGGTCATGCCGCAGCCGGTCCTGTCGAAAGCAGTCAAGCGGTTCTCGAAAGGATTCAAGTTACTGTCTTATCAAATATGACAAAAACAACATCAGTAACACCCACCGCTTCGTCCGTCCCAGAAACAAACCTCGACACCATGGTGATGAGAATAATTTGCAAAATTTTAAAAATCGAAATTTAACGATAACAAATCACACGATTTATTTGAAGATTTAAAAAATTTTGAAATATAAAATAATTTTTGTATTTCAAAATGAAAAACTTTTATTTTCAATTCATGTTAATATGTCTATTTTGAAATGAGTTTTGTATAAATTTAATTTTGTAATTTTTTATATAAATTTTCAATCAAAAATTATTATTTAATATAAAATTTTATTTTGGAATTAGTTTTATAAGATTTTTATTTGTGATAATTTTCCAATAGTTTGTTAATAATTAAATTGATAAGTTTTTAATTTGAAATACTATAATTTGTTATAATTGGGAATATTTTTTTTTGTTTTTAGGAGAAGAATAGAGGAATATCAAATACCCAGAGGGTCTGGACAAGTCTGTTGGCAGGAGCGGCTGCAGGAGCTTTGGCCAAAACAACGATAGCGCCACTCGATCGTACAAAAATTAATTTTCAAATATCAAAGAAGCCATATTCAGCAACTGCTGCTATTGATTTTATAGTGAACACTTATCGTAATCATGGTCTTATAAGTTTATGGCGAGGAAATAGTGCAACCATGGTCAGAATCATTCCCTACGCCGCGATTCAATTTACAGCACATGAACAATGGAAAAGGATATTACACGTTAATGGTCATGATTCGTGAGTTTCAATTATATCCATTCGAAAATTAAACAAAAAAATTTTTTTTTTTTAATTAAATACAAACAACATTTACATCAATCTTTCATATTAAAAACATAATATATTTTTAATAAATTTCAGGGATCACAGAGTGTCACCTATTCACCTTTTTTCACCTATTTTTAAATTTGGTATCTATTTCACCTATTTCGATTTGTCACCTTCTTTCAGTTATTGAAGAAATTTTTTTTTTATTTTGTACTTAGTAATTATTTTTTTGTGTTTAAATATTGCGCTTTTACTTTGAATGAACAAGCCATACTTGGCCATTTGAGCATCGCACCTCCAAAACTGTAAGAGTTAAGGGGGGAAACACTTTTTTCCGAAATTTCGAGTTTTTTATTTATAGCTATATTAAATTCAATTCCAAAAAAAAAAATAGGACAAGTGCGAGTTACACTTGCACTAAAATCGAGGGTTCCGTACACGAAGCGAGCTTATTTGGTATAAAAACTAATGTTTAAAAAATATAAGTTTTGTATGTCAAATAATGTAAGTGATACAAAAAGAAACAATTTTTTAAAAAATCTTAAGAAAATTGTTCCTTTTTGTATCACATTATTTTAAACATATGTTTTTATACCAAATAAGTTCGCTTCGTGTACACTGGCATTTGTCCGATTTTATTTTTAATTAAAATAAACATTTTCTTTAAAAAAAAAAAAAAAATGTGAAAAGAATATTGAATTAAAAAAGAAAGAATAGGAGGAAGAGAAGAAAATTAGAAAAAAATCAATAGAACAGAGAAACGAATAAAAAACTTATGTGAAAAGTTCACTTTTTTCAAAAACAATTTCTTTTCGAAAAAAAACTTAATTAAAACAACTTCTTATCATGTTTTTTAAATTATTTCTCTAATCTACATACAAAAATGCGTGAAAATGAATAAATTTTAAGCCCTTTAGATAAAATTTTCTTTGTTTTTGGAAGAAAATTCATAATTTTTTCTATTATTGTCAGTTCTTTCCTGACAGCACCAAGACCATCAACTCCAATCGTCCTCGCTATATTTTTTTTTTGTAATCTACACGTAAAAATATATAAATTTGAATTACTTTAGATAAAATTTTCTTAGTTTTTGGTCGAAAAATACATTTCTTTCCCTAAAATTATCATTTTGCTTTAAAAATTTGATAAAAATTAATCATCAACTCCAATCGTGCTCACATTTTTTTCCCTGTAATTTTCACGCAAAAATATATTTATACAACAAATATAAACAGTCTGGGTTGAATATTGTGTGCGCTAGGGAGAATAAATCATTTTTTTCGAAATTCATGGTTTTTCCTTGACAACGCTATGATAATCCATTCCAATCGGGTTTGCTATATTTTTCCTGTAATCTACACGCGAAAATGCATATGTGTACTAAATTTCAGCCCTCCAGATAAATTCGTGTGACCGCTAGGGGGGGAGGGGGGTACACGATTTCAAAAAAAACCGATATTAATAGGGTTCCGAACCGAGTACGGAACCCTAAAAAAGAAAAGGAATGACGTGGAAAAGCTTCATAGCAGTATCAGAAGAAAAAATTCTCTTATAATGGACAGTGCTGCAAAAAAGTACTCTTTAGTAACAAATAAATTGTTAATAAACCTTAAATTACATGTTTATTAATCTTTAACAATAATTTTTTTGTCATCTATTTTTGAAAAAAATTGTACCTTTTCACCTTTTTTGATGACAAAAGGTACTGTGATCCCTGAAATGTATTAAAAAAAAAAAAAAAAAATTCAAGATGAATGAATTATTTTCAATTTTTCTTATGCAGATCATCAGGAAAAAGATTCTTGGCGGGATCATTGGCAGGAGTGACGTCCCAGGGGATGACGTATCCATTGGATTTGGCGCGAGCGAGAATGGCTGTGACGGACAAGGACGAATACAAAACTTTGCGACAGGTTTTCTCTCAAATCTACAGGCGAGAAGGTGTTTTAGCTTATTATCGAGGGTTTACTGCAACGATATTGGGGGTCATTCCATACGCTGGCTGCAGCTTCTTCACATATGACACACTGAAGAATCTACTGACTGGTGAGTCGGTTCATTCAAGAATTCGCTTCAGGCCACGTGGCATTTACATTGCTTGAGAATGATATATAAAATCAAAACACACTTAATAAGTAGTCAAAAAAAAAAAAAAGAAAATATTTTTTTCTAAAAATTCCCGCAATGTCTATTTTTTTGTATTTGTATATAAATATCAAGCAAAATGCTGTGACAAGTACCGTTTCACGGTCAAGGCCTTACTTACTACTTTGATAGAGACGCTTGTGCACAGTCCATGACAACTTTTAAGTGTTTACTTCATATTGGATGATGACGTGTCGGTAAACAGTGCACACAGCAAATAGTCCTGGATTTTCGGCGCTTTCTGGTCTGGCATGCGGTGCCGTTGCTGGGATGGTGGGACAGACGAGCAGCTATCCTTTGGACATCGTTCGCAGGAGGATACAAACTTCAGCTGTCAAGGGACAACACTACCGGACTGTCATTAAAACTGCGACCAAGATTTATACGTAAGCATATTCAATTTTATTATTTAATTATTTACCAAAAAAAATTTTACAGTAAAATTAGCATTTTTTTTTTTTTTTTACTATTTAACACGTCCATGAAGTTCTCAACGTTTATGATCAATAATTTAGAAGAAAAAATATCTTGCTGTGCAAATTATTATAATTTTTTGTCCAAAAAAAAAAAATATTTGCAACGTTTCTCGATCAACAATTTTTAAAAGAAATATTTGTAGGCAAAAAATTAATTATTTTTCGAGTAAAAAATATATATTATTTTTCAATCATTGATCATAAACGTTGTGAACTTCATCGACGTGATTTTTTTAAACTTCATATCAAAATTTTATCAAAAATGCTTTATTTTTAAAGAACAAATAAAGTAATTAAAATTATACTTTTAATTTTAAAGATTTATATAACTACAAATTTTTAATTCTTTAATTTATTATAAAAGCGTAGGAAAACTAATTTTCAGTTTAGATTTTCTGGTATTTTTTAATTTTTCTATATTTAAAGATAAAAATAAATTTTCGTATTTTCAGCATTTTTTATCTACATAAAATTTTATGGAAAAATCAAAAAAATTGAAAGTACCAATAAAAATGTCACTCAAAAATAAATAAAATACATTTTATAAATTTTTCGATTAAAATAATTTAAGAAACTAATTGCTAAATCTAATTTGAGAAACTGTTTAAATTGAAATAAATTAGTATTTTTGTTCAAAAATTAATGAAAAATTTTATAATTAAAAAGTCAATTAGTTAATTGTTTAAGAAATCAACTTCAAAAATGTTATTTAAATAAATGACAAATATTTAAATATTTTTACGATAAAATTTTTATTTTTAAATGTTTAAAATATTTCTAATATTGTCTACAAGAAGAATAGTTATTTTTTAATTAAAGTTTATTTATTTTTAATTTATCTCAATTAAAATATTATGGATAATAATTCTAATAAAAAAAAATTAAATTCTAAATTTATTTTATAAATTAAAGTCTGACATTGCGAAATAATTTTGATTAATAATTATTTGTTTTGCTTTTAGAGAGGAAGGTATAATGGCTTTCTTTAAAGGTTTAAGTATGAACTGGGTTAAAGGTCCTGTGGCTGTTGGAATCAGTTTTACAACATACGATGTGATCCGTGATACGCTTAGAAAAGTCATATGTTAATTTCGATTTTCTCGAGAGATTAATTTACGAGAAATTAGAAATTACAAAAACAAAAAGTTAAGTTCCAAAATTGCCATTCAAGTTCTATTTCTTTATATAGAAGTAGATGTAAATTTTAAATAATAATTGAAGGTTTCATTAAAAGCTTCATGTACATATTTTTGAAAAATTTCTGTTAAAAAGAAAAATTGTTTATCTAAACTTTTTTGTCAAGTGATAAAAAAAAAAATTTCATAATGAAAAAAGAAATTCTGTGAAGAATTAATTTGAAAAGAATGTGTTGTTGTTCTTTTTTTTAAAGAACATTTAACACACATTCGAGTGTTACAAAATTTTGTACATACACTATAAATAAGAATTAAGTAAAAAGAACTTAGTATATTTATTATCAAATGATTATTTCGTAAAATTTATAATTAGTTTTATATGTTATTTCTTTAGAAATATCAGTTTTATTAAATGTTACATATTATTCTTTATATAATAATCAAACTATTGAAAATGTAAACTTTTCCGCAGTACACTGAAAGATACTGATTAATAATTATTATTTAAAGTGTTTTACAATACGGGAGAAAAAAGGATACCTATAGCTAATTTAAACAATTTTTAAAATAATTTTCAATACCAATTTATGGAATTAATATTTTAAAATATCTGAATTATTTTTTATTGTTATAAGGGTAAGATTGTTAAACTAATGGAAGTTTTGTAAGAAATTTAAATATATTTACGTTTTTTTTTATATTAAGAACATGACTGTCAGGTCATTTCATATGTAAATATTCTTCGCAGATTTTTTCTTTTTGTAAAATACTTGAAAAATTAAGCTGAAATTTTGTGAATAATATTTACATGTTAAAGCACGTGACTTAACAGTCCACATGTCCTTAAGTTTTCTTTCATAGAAACTTTTTAAAAATTTGATAATTAATTTCTTACAGTGGGCATTTCAAATCAATTTACACTATATATGTATATTAAACTGAGACTTTTAACTGACAATATCTTGCTATTGCACAACTTTGATTATGACTTTAATGTTGGTGATTGGATATAATTTTTCTAATGAATATGTTTGTTATCGTTTTTCATCGAACATTAAAAAAAAATTGCAATATTTTTATATCTTGTTAGTTTACTCCTTTGTACAAATTACTTTTAGTAGACAATTATATATATATTATCACTTTGTGTTTAATTTACGGGGTTTTAAAATTGTATTGCGTTTTTTTTTTCTTGCAAATCTAATCAATTTACATGAATCGGGAGAAGTGAATTGAAGACTTAAATAAATTTATTAGAAATTTAAAAATACAAAAAATTATTATATAATATGAAGGTTTATTAAATTTAAAAATAAATTGCTTTTTAATAAATATAAACTATTTTTCATTTTATTCGCTAAAATTACTATTGACAAAATAATAAAGATGAAAAAATTTTTTTCTATAAAAAATTCATTTTTATTATTATAAAAAAAAGTCTGCGAGTAATAATTCATTGAGGAAAAAAAAATATGAACGATTCCACAAAAATAGACACTCAAAATATTGGTATATGTTATTATACCATTGTCGGATTCCGAGATATGAATAAACTCTGATTGGTCCAAAGGAAAAAAAGAACCTTTTTTTACATTCCAGGCGACCTATAACGCAGATTCAATTAAAATCAAAAGTAAATCACGATTTTTATGTTAATTAAAATCAATTTCTCATTTACAAAAAAAAAATACCTATGATCCAGAACTTTATGATTAATAAATTTAAATTGGTCATAAAAATTTGTAGAAAAATTGAAAATAATTTCCATTAATGAAATAAGAATAATAAATAAATAATTTCGAGTTTTCACACTTTTTTTTTTTGTTTCACCTGAAAATATTTTCGCAAATATTATTTAAATATATATTTATATAAAACTTCGTGGAAAGCCAATCTTACTTTGGCTTTGTTTCCTGATCGTTGACGTATCTTATATAAATTTCTTGTTCATCCGAACCACCTGGTGGAATTTCAGCTTCATTTAAATATGAAACACCAATTGCAAGGACCGTTCCATCTTGACTGAAACTAAGAGCGGCAACTCCTGCATTATATCTATGGAATTGACATAATCGTTTTTTATTAAAACCATCCCAAATATTCACGTATCCATCGGATCCACCAGTTGCAAATGTATTATACACAGAATGAAAACTAATGGCGTTGACAGGATAAATATTTTCCACATTATTCTCTTTTATCCTGTGGCATTTAAAGGCATATTTCTTCTTTTGTGCCTCTTGAGTTGTATCTAAATATTCGACAGCAACTCTACCCTCTATACTACTTAGAACATAACCCTGGAAAGAAAACAATGTGTACATTAAAATTTAATTTTTTATTAATTACATATTCCAAAATAATTTATTTAATTAAATTTTTTATACCTGTTCATTGGGGAATCCCTTGATACATCTTGTTTGATATTTTAAACTACTTTCGCGACGTTGAAACATCCCGGCCATATTTCTCAAATCCCATATACACACTTTTCGTTTAGCTGTGCCAACAACAAATTTATCACCACAAACTGATAAAGCTAAAACTACATCAGGTTGAAGATAACTTCCTACACACGTAGGACTTCTTGGATCCCAAAGTTTTACAGCAGCATCCCAGCCACCAGTTAATATTGCATTTACTGCTCCACAGTATTCCACTTTTCTAATGGGTTTTTCGTGTGCTCCCATTACAGATTCTATCAAATTGTTCAAATCAATTTTTCTTTTTTCAATCAATATTCATTTATCAAAAATTCAATTAATTAAAAAAAATGACAATTTTCGATAAATAAAATATAAATAAATTAAATAATAACAACTATAATTAATAAATACGTATCAATTAATAACTAATTATCGAAATTACCTGTATTTGTATTAATATCGTACATTTTTAAAGTGTTTCCTAATCCGCCACTATAAGCGTGTACTGCATCCTGAAGAATATTTATATTCAAATAATATAACAATTATAAAAATTACGATAAAATTTTTTTTTAAAAAAATGATATTATATATTACCTGAAATGCAACATCCAGAACAGGTAAATCGTGATTATATTTAACTCTAAGGGAATTTGCATGAATATCATACAATCGAACAGTACTGTCCCATGATGAAACAAGGAGAAATTGTGTAGAATTTGGACCAAATTCTACAGCTGAAATTGCATCCGTTGGAGCATTTTTTATTTTAAATTCTGTACGAGATTCCATTTTTTCTATGAATCTAAAAAAAAACATTGTAAAAACATATAAAAAATAAGTATAAACATAAATTTTGTTTCTTACCTAACCTCAAAATTAAAAAAAAATATTACCTTTTCAGACTGCGATCACTTATATTCAATTACAATAAAATTGAAATTGATCACTTAATAGTTTTCTATGTAATGGCAAATTATATATACACGTAAATGAGGAATTTTTAATAGAAAATTTTAATTTCACACGTCTTGTTTATAAATCGCGATATAAATTACAGGCGAACCTTTCATAAGACAACCTCTAATAAGACAAATTTCCCCTATCGTGTTCCCCTTCCCTAAAACTTTAGATATATATTGCGTCATGCGCAGTAGCGTCAAGCGGAGCATATGGCTAACAATGTAAACAGAAAATAACCTGCCTAAAAATGTGCAAAAAAACCCCTATCTGTGATCACAGTTATGTAGTTTATATTTAAAGTTTAATATTTCTGTAAGTGTAAAGACTGATTATGTGCAATAAGCAACAGAAGACTCACGTGCATCTTCCATTACAGGAGAAGATTAATATTATAAAAAGCCTCAATAATGGAAGTACAAAAAATAAGTTGAGAGAAATAGCTGAGCAATACCATATTTCACCATCGGTTGTTAGTAGATTGAAGAAAAATTCAGAAAGCCTTAAAGATGTTGAGAATTTAAGTCCAAAAGTCCTGCAAAAGAGGAAGGTCAAAAAACCAGTGCATAATGCTGATTTGGAGAAAGTTTTAATCAGGTGGTTTAACGAGAAACGTGCTGCGGGTGAACCAGTGAGTGGACCGCTGATTTGCGAAAAGGCTTTGGTGTTAAATGAACAATTAAACGGCTCGGAAAATTTTAAAGCTAGCAATGGCTGGCTGCATGCGTTTAAAAAAAGATATGGTATTAGACAGTTATCTATGAAAGGAGAAAAATTATCTGCGGATGTTGATGCTGCCATAAGTTTTGCCTTTTATTTTCAAAATTTAGTTGAAGAGGAAGGCTGCGATTTGAGTTTAATTTTTAATGCAGACGAAAGTGGAGTTTATTGGAAACGGCTGCCAGAAGTAACTCTAGCTGGAGCAAACGAGGATTATGATTGTCCAGGTAAAACACACTTTAATTTAACATTTTCACAGTTTTTCTAACTTTAATAAATTAATATAAAAAAATGTTGGTAGTTTTTAATCTTTTTGACTTGTAATTATATTGAAATTCGTGAATTGCAATAATTATAACCTATAAAACTGCAAAGTTGAATGTGATGATTTTTAAAAACTTACAAAACAATTCACACTTTTTAAATTTAGTTTAAATGGAAATTATAAACTCATTTAAAGTGAAATCTCCATGAAATCTCGACTCATTCCTAATTTATTAAACTAAAAAGATTAAGGATATATGTATCTTTAAACATCAAACTAAGTAGTTTTTAACAAGGAAACTAAAAATATATTTAAAATGTATTTCACTCAATTTTGAAAGATCCAGTTGTACAATTTTCCGAAAAAATTATTTTTACTTAAAATTTGTTGTTTATTAATAATTAAGTAACATTTTGTGTTTTTACTTGAAAGTTAGTCAACGGAATTATTGTAATTTGTATCCAATTTTTATAAACAATCGCTCATTTTAATCTCCAAAAGTTTCTCTACAAATTTATTTCTTGAATTTTGTTAAAAAAAAATTTGTTCAAAAGTTATAAAATAAATAAAATTTTTTTATTTAATATTTTGTTAATGAATCATTTATTAACAAAATTAAACCGCGAACTGAATTATAGAGAATCTTTCAGATATAGTAAAATGAGTTGCTATTTTTAATAAAAATTGGATAAAAATTAAAATTATTCACTAACTTTTAAGAAAAAACACAAAATGTTTATTAATTATTAATAGACAAAAAAATTTTTGCAATTTTCTCTGTAGTGACTCCAATACATATTTATAGTTACAATTTATTTTAATATTTTTTTTATGCAGGTTGGAAATTAAAAAAGGACCGGGTGACCGTTTTATTTTGTTCAAACGCAGATGGTTCTTTCACTCTACCATTACTAGTTATTGGAAAATCTGAAAGACCCCGTTGCTTTAATAATAATTATACTACGTCTTTACCAGTCACGTATACACATCAAGCCTCAGCTTGGATGAATGCAAAGATTTTTTTCAGTTGGTATAAAGATCAGTTTATTCCGTTAGTACAGGCCATGCAAGTGCAAACACAAAAATATGGAAAAGTATTGCTGTTACTCGATAATGCTAACTGCCATCCACCGAAAGAAATTCTAAATAATGTAAACGAAAATTTTAAAGTTGAATTTTTACCTCCCAACGTTACGTCACTCATCCAGCCAATGGATCAAGGCGTATTTGCAAAGGCAAAAACTCTCTATCGAAAGGATCTACTTAGATTGTTAATATTAAAAAATGACCACATTGCTGTTCAGGACTTTATGAAATCTTTTAACCTCAGAGACTGCTGTTGCATGCTTGCAAAGGCATTCCAATCCTTGACTCAGGAGAACTTACAAAATGCTTGGAATAAGCTCCGTGGAATTTCAAGAGTAATGGAAAAGAATAGTAATGATTCTGACAATTCAACAACAATTAGCCAAATGCATGCAATGGTCAACAAAATTAAAGGTAAATTATATCCTACGTTTTTATTCATTTATGTTCATAAAATGGAAATATATTTTTGCAATACTAATTTCTAAATTAGTTTTTTTTTTTCTAAATCAAAGTTTTCAAAATGGTGGATGATCAAAAATAGGTCTTGAAAATGCACTGCAATGTAATAAATGATTTATCATATAATTATTCAAAATAATACAACAATTCTTCTTATTCGTGAGGTTTTTGAGTCTCTAGTCAAGAATCGGATAGCAAAATTTAATTTTTCAAAATTCTGGATTTATGTGATAAATCACTGATTACATTGCAATGCATTTTTAAGACCTATTTTTGATCATCTACCATTTTAAAAATTTTGAATATTTAATTTTTTTTAAAAATGCCAACATAAAGTGTAGCTAAAAATAAAAGAATTTGTGACCTGAAAAATCTTTTGCTCAATAATTGAAAAAGTTATGAATTTTTTTTTTTTTTAAAAAAAGTGCATTTTCCCCGTGTACTTTCAATGGGAAATTTCGATTGATTACTGGCACTATGTATTGAAAACGAACTGGGGGGTGGTCCAAATAAAATTCGAAAGTCGACTTTTTTACGGACACTCTAATCCCACGTACATATTTTACACTCTCTTTATTCATCAACACTTGTATCATAAATGTTTGTTTATAGAGCAAAGTTTTTGTTATAAGATTATTATAATTAAAATTTACAATAACTTTCTTATTGTTGAATAGGTCTTGAAAAAGTTGATCGATCTGAGGTGAAAGAATGGTTATCTGAAGATCAGCACGAGCCTGGATGGAAACAACTCAGCGACTGCGAAATTATTGAAATTGTCACAGGAAAAAATCCTCAAACCATTGCGAAGGAAAAGTTACATGAGAGAAAAATCTTCCAATCAATAGAGCCTAACAGTATCAGTATTCCAAGTTCTGAAGATATTAACACCACAGTTCACATTTTACACAATTGGTGTAAACAGAAAAATGAATATACACTTTCGGATTATCGTCTCTTTCGGAAATGGGAGAATCTGACTATGAAAAAATCTCAAGAAGAAGTTTCCAAAAGTTCTGATGCTAACAATAGTGATATAATTCCAAAGCTATAATGTCAAAGAATATACGAATGTTATGAAATGTGTTCTTCATAAATAATTACATTAAAAATATTTATTTTCATTATATATTTAAAACGTTGCTTTATAATATTTTAAATTACATTATGTAAGAAAATTGTTGAAACTCAGATCTTTATTTTAATTCTAAATATATTATGAGACAAATAATAAAAATTACTTAATTCTCGTTACATTTGTACCCTATCTTTTTCATTTATAATAATTATACAAATTACATCATTATATAAATTCTTTTAAATACTTCTAGAATCGATTATCTGTTTCATTTTTTTTTTTTTTTTTGAATTACAACTATTACAATTCATTAATTTAATTTCTAATAAATAACTTTATTTTAGAGGTAGATGGTAATAATTTAAAAGATTAAAGCCAAATATTAAAGTTTGATATTTCCTTGTTAGATAATACTTTGCACACTTAAAAACTACTTATCATATCTCTTACCTGTAATAAAATAAATTCTAAAGAGGTAATTTATATTTTTCAAAAATTTTAAGCCCAATTAAATATCTTCTAAAATACTATGTATTTTTAAATCGAAAAAAACAAAATAACTGCAATATAAAACATAAATAAAATACTTAATAGAAATAAAAAAACAACCACTATTATGAATTGTCAAAACCTATCAAAACACAATAGCATAAATATTAGGCTAATTTTGGTTATGGAAAAAATGCAAGAAAGAAATTTATGATTACTTTCTGTAATTTTTCTACTATTTTTTATATTCATCTCTTTATTTCTTCTAACATAATTTTCAATAAACTCCAACATTATTTTGAAATAGACCGCCATGCGCAAACGGTCACTGCGCATCAATTTCTCCTCTTGCGAAAAACCTGCTTTAAGAGAACCCCCCACTAAAATTGTCTTATGAGAGGTTTCGCTGTATACAAATACAACGGTGAACGGTGTATTACCTGTATTAGCTACAGAGAAAATATCTAGACAATCCGCAGGATGTCACTCTCTGTTAATGTCTACTTATTTATTTTTTCTTAAAATTAATAAATAAAAAAAATAAATTTCGTATTGCCTTGATTTCAAATTAATTGATTAATTAATTTAATTCATTCATTAATTGTGAGAAATATTTTTAAAAAATCATAAAAATACACTATAGGATAAAATTAAGGTTATGTTATAAATTTCTATGTATATACACAATCCGGCAGGATTTATCATGTGTATTTTTGATGTTTTTCAATAAGTATTTACTAGTTTTAATTAATAAATTGTTTTCTTTAAAATGTTTTCACGGCTTAAAGTAACTACGTACTCCCGTATGATTTCAAAATCATGCTTATTATCACAGGTAATTATTGAAAAATTTTGAGGTTATATTTGCAATCCGTCTTTTTGTCATTTATTGTATTTTAAACTTTTAATGTGAGACTATATCATCAAGACACACATTTTGCAAATATGTATTTTTTAAAATTAAAATATATATATATCAGAAAGTCTAATTAATAAGGTAATTGTATTTTTCAGTCATATTCACAAAATAGGGCTTTACATGTTTTTCACAGAACGAAAGATCATGCTACAAAAACAAATTGTTTAGGATGTTTCTCGTCGTCTTCAGTTTATAATACTAGTTTTGTAAGATATGCAAGTACGAGCGAAACGCCAATTACACCTTTGCAAGAAGAATTACCTCTGATTCCTGGTAAATTATAAAATTTTGATTTTTATAATCTTCATTTATAGAAAGTTGTTAAGAATTTAAAAACAAGGAGGGGGTCGGAGGGGGTCCTTTATGTTTATTTCATAAACATTTTGCTTCCTTATTGTGTGAATTAAAAAATTTGCTTCCTCGTGGAAGATGCTATGAATTTCTCTAATTCAATTAATTGATTTAAAACATTTCGAGTTTAAAAACTGATTTTAAATTCATTAAATTTTTTGATAAATTATGAAAATTGTAATTCATTTTGGGTGTAACATATACTTTATATATACGAATCGATTCGTTTCAATGCAAATAATTCAATTATTTTATGTATTAACTTGAATTTAAAAAAACACAAAATTTTTTTAGCTAAAATATGAATTTTTGATTTTTCAAATTTTATTAATTCTTAAAATTTTAAATCAAATCTGTACTTTATATATACCAATCGATTCATTTTTAATGCAGGGAATAAAATTATATCATATATAAACTTGAATTTTAATACACACAACATTTTTTTAGCTAAAATGTAAATTTTTGATTTTTTAAATTTTATTAATTCTTTAAATTTCAATGAAATTTATACTTTATATATATACTAACCGATTTGTCTTGACGTAAAGAAGACGATTATATTATATATTACCTTAAATTTTTCTATTTAAAAACTTTTTCAATTAAAAAAAATTTTTTGGAAAAAAGAGAGATTAATGTGATAAATAAGCCTACCAAATTTTATCCAAATCCATTAAAACCTGTTAAAGATATTGTGTTCACAAAAACGATCCACACACACATACACATACATCCGGACAATTGATCAGGATCTCATATAACATGTTTCTAAATAGAGAAAAATTTGTTTTCACTATTTTTAAAAATTTTATAAACGAAAGGACTACAAAGCTTCCTTCACGAGGAAGTAAAAAGGATGAATTTTTTTTATTTATTTAAATAATTGTGATTTTTACAATAAGATGCACCAATAATACCACCGGAAATAACGGAAGTAATTGGAGAAGCATCTCTTCGAAGTTTTGAATTAGGATCATATTATACTCCAGTTGGATGGATGCAACATCTTTTGTTCTCAATACATACGACATGTGGACTACCATGGTGGGCAACAATTATTGTTGGTAATTATTATCTAATTTAAAAAATTTTTAATGTTACTGTATTTAAATTGTACTTGAAAAAAATCTACTTTAATTATAATTTTTTACTATTTTTTTTTTTTTTTTAAGGAACAACAATTTTAAGATGCGCAACGTTGCCCATTTTTATAGCAACGCAAAGGCATCTTGCACTTCGTGACGTATATAAAAAAGATTTATCGTACTTGGATAAAAAAAGGAAAGAGGCAACAGAAGACAATGATCATTTTAGATGTAAATATTTAACGATATAGACAAAATTTTTTACTAAATTTCTATTTTAAAAATGATTTTTTTTTCAATTAAAACAATATCATTTTAGCAAACATGTATATGCAAAAACAAGAAATATTCTACGCTAAACATGGTATGTTGACAACAATGAAATTGGGAAGAAACACTGGATTACAGGTATATTATGTGATAAAATTAAAATTAATTAAAAAATTTTTTTTTTCAAGTTATATAATAAATTTCATTTTTTTTTTTAAACAGGGACTTTGTTTTGCCTCGTTTTTCTTGGCAATAAATAAAATGGCACGTGCTCCATTACCAAGTTTACAGGAAGGTGGTTTAGCGTGGTTTCGAGATTTAACTGTAACTGATCCTTATTATATATTGCCAGTAATTGGTTGTACTTTTACTGCTATATATATGTATTTGACACCAACTCCCACATTAGCAGCATCCGTAAATTTTAATAGAATTCAGAAAATCAAATATGCCATCCCTGTTATTGCTTTAATACCCATGATTTATTTTAAAACAGTAAGTACATTTTTTTTTGTTTTTTAGTTTAGCTTTTATATTAAATGAATAAAAAGTTGAAATTAAAAAAAAAAATTTCAATTTGATTTGCAGGCTGTATTACTTTATGGCATAACAACAGCATGGCTGACATTTATTTTTCAAGCTTTAGTACGAGTTCCAAAAATAAGGGCTTTTTGTAAGATTGCTCCAATTATCAAACATCAAGAAATACCTAGAGATACCTCATCAAAAATTCAAAATGAGTCATTTTTAGAGCAGGTTAAAGATGGTAAGTACAATGAAATGGATTTTTTTTTTTTAAATCAAATTTCTATCTCTAGTTTTAAAAAAATGTCCGTTGAAAATGCATTTTATTATAAATAAATTATAAATAATATTTTTACAGTTTTAAGGAAAATAAAGAAAAATAGAAATCGCAGGTCGGCTATGAGTTTGGATCAAAGGCAATTTCAATCTGCTGGCAGAGGACCTCTGGTTAAAACATATAAATTCGATCCAACAAAAGTTACAATGCGTAAAGAAATTAAATAGCTTTTTTAAAAAAAATAAATTGTAAAATAATAAAAGCGTTTTCAAATTTTTTATTCATAAATAGATAATAAATCATTGACATGGAAATAAGATTGTCAACGTTTAGAAAATAAAAGATTGTTAATTTAAAATTTTGATTTTTCTTATATAGTCATCTATTGTCGATTAAATTCATATTTTTTTGAATAAAAAAGTAATATGTACATTTATTTTAAATTTAAATTATTTATAATGATTTAATAAAAATTCCCTACTTTAACGACATTAATAAAATGCGCAACAGAAAAAGCGGGAATGCGCATTATAAACACGTAACAAAAATACATAACCTTAAAAAAAAGAAAGAGTGCGTAAAAAAGTTGATATACAAATAATTCTGTTTTTTATTTATAAAGAAAGTAAAAAAGTGACATTTAATTTTCAAAAAAAGAATTTTTATATTCCTTTCAAAATTTATTTAATAAAATTTTTTTCTTCACAAAATTGAAAATTAAAAAAAAAAAAAAAAAAAAAAAAATGATAATCAAATTGGAAAAAGTGATAAGTTGTTCCTCGGAACATTCATTATATCCAGCGTCAAATCTTTTGGAATCACATTCAAATTCAACCTGGAGATGTGCAAAACCTGGTGAATCATTGGCGACAATTATTTTTCAACTTTCCGAACCATCATGCATAACAGGAGTTGAAATTGGAAATTATCGTTCATGTATCGTCATTGTTAATGCCTCAATATCATCTGAACCTGACAATTGGATTCCAATAATAAATCATCAATTTCTCACACACGATGAAGCTGCCAATGGAAAATTTAAGGATCAAGTGCAAATATTTACAAAAAAAGAACTTAATCCAGATAATTTGAAAATTAAATTCGACCGCGTCAAAGTCACTTGCATGCAATCGGCAAATCCAAGAGAAATTTTTGGTTTAACATTTTTTATTTTAAGAACCGAGGTTATTGTTGATATGGGTTTGGATATTTTTGGTCGATTTAAAATGAAGGACACCAATGAAGAAAAAGAGAGTAGTGTCGATAGATTTAAAGAAAAATATCTCAAATTAATGGAAAACAATAAACAACAAGCTGGAAATTATAAGAATGAATTGAAGGATAAAATTAAAGAAAATGGTTTTAGCGATTTTCAAAAACGACAAGAGGCTGAACGTGAACACAAGAAGAAACCTTTGTTAGAAAAATTAGAAGCCGGAAAAGCAGATGAAGTTTTTGGCAAGACAAAAGAAAAGAATGATAAAGTACCATCAACTTCAACTGCAATTAATGAAAAAATAAAAGATGATATCAATTCAAATTCTGTTGTGAGAACTCCATTTGGAGATATTGTTCCAGCATCGACGTCAAAGGCAAAAATTGAAGAGAAACAAAAAGTCATTAGAAAACGATCATTAAGTACCGATGAATCTGATGATAATGATGATAATAATGAAGTAATAAGTAATAAAAAAGTTAAATGCAGTAAATGTCAAACAGAATCTAAAGACGAATTATGTAAAGTTTGTAAAAGATTACCTCCACCAGATATAATATCAAATAAAACAAAAAAGCCTCCTTTAAATAAAGTCACAAGACCTAAAAGAAAGTTTGAAGAACTTTTTGCGGGAATCAGTTTTTCTTTAAGTGGATACGTGAATCCAAAAAGAGATGGAATCCGAAGGAAAGCTTTAAAAATGGGAGCAAAATATATTGCTGATCCAAATACAACTGATAAATTATGTACGCATTTAGTGTGTGCTTTTAAAAATACACCGAAATATCAACAATTCAATGGTCTCACGAAAATTGTTTCTCATAAATATATAGAAGACTGCTTTGATAAAAAGAAAAGGTATTTCATTTTAAATACAATAATATTGATAGGAAAAAAAATATATATATAATATATAAATTTGTCACTATTTTTATTTAATTTTCAGAATTCCATGGAGGCGATATGCTCTAGATAAAAATGAGATGGATAAATCTGATAGTGAGAATGAAATTGTTTGCAGTGGAAGAGTTATTCCTTCTGAAGATGATTTAGATGTTGATAGCGATGATGATTTTAAGCCTTACGACGAAGAAACCGATGAAGATTCTGATTCGAATTATTAAAAATGGAGATTAAAATAAAGGCTTTTGTTTATAAAAAAAATTCAATGGTTTACAATTAAAAAATGTTATAAAAATAATTCTTTTATACGCGCCTGCAAATCATTTTTGGTAATTCTGTACATAAGATGTAATTTTTGTACGAATGAAGTGTGATTAATTTATAAATTAAAAAATAGTTTTTCATTAATTTAGTCTAATTATTCTAGTATTCAAACATTTTTGATTCAGTTTTTTTCAAATATATATATATAAAAAAAAAAAGTAATAATTCTCCATGAGAAAAATGAGGTTAGGATAGTAGATTTTCAAATTTTTCACGATTCTCACGTGTCTTATTACATTCATTTTTAAATATTAAAACAAAATTTACCTTTTGCTTTAAGAATCCAATATTTTTCGATTAAAACAATAAATTTTTCCTTTCTAAATTCCATTTCGGCAAAAATATAAATTTGAATATAAACACAACATTCGATAGAAACCCGAAGTTTAATGCCGAACATTTCCGATTCGGGAAAGCCGAACAGTTTTTTAGTAATGGCGCAACTTTAAGCTGTCAAAAGTGTTGAGTAACTCACTACAATAAAAAATAGCAAAAATGGCAGACGATTTAAATAATACATTTGGTTTTGAGTTGTTAAATAAACTATACGATACACAAGTTACAAAAAAGGAAGATATTCTTATTTTATTTGTGCACTGGTATTGCATTAAAAATGGCTTCAGATGCATCGGCTTAGGTGACTCAGTAAGTATTCATCCAAATGTTCTGTAAAATTTTTTATACCAGAAACCGGCTAATCATAATATTACACTTATAATTTTATACTTTACAAGAGTTATAATGTTTAAATTTATCTGTAAAACGTTTTAATCTTTCAATGCCATAACCTATATAAACAATTTTTTTTTTTGCGCATTATTGAAAACTTTGTAGAGACCCAAAATTTACATGTTTTGGTTTTGTTTTTCATGAAAAATAATGATTAATTGTTGTAAACAATGTATAAATAGATAGGTTATTAATTGGTGTGTTGCAAGATATTATTATTTAGTAATTGTTAAAAGTTAAGTATTTTAATTACAAATAAAAAAAAGTATCTCTTATTATCATTTTTTATATTTAATCTGACATATCAATAAAATTCGCAAATATGAAAACAAATCTAGTTTTTAATAATTTTTAAAAATTTATTTTTAAGTTTGAATCACTTCGTTAAATTTAATTAACATCTTTGATTGTATTTTATTTATTTTCTTCCTTATTTTTTAGAAGACACGTGATCCTGCTGAAAAAGGTTCTGAATTGTTACCTGAAGGTTGGAATCAGCAACCAAATTATACACTTCGATATGTCTTTAAGGATAAACTCTACATTTTGCTTGGAACAAAATCCGATACAGATTTTTTGTTGAATTTATTGGTAACGAAATAAACAAAAAAAAAACTATTCTTAAATCTTTCTTTTTTTCTAATAAAAATATCTTTATTATTATTTTAAAAATTATTTCAATTTCAGAGGGTAGAAGGAAATGAAGCATCGTGCATTCAATTTTCGATTGAAACAACTGTAAATAGTCTACATGGATCTCTGGAAACTTTGATGCCAACATATCAAACAGCATTAAATACAATTGAAAATGATCTTATAGCTCCAATTTATAGGAGCAGAAATGAAAATTCTACTCAAACTTCTCAGTCAACAAGTCAAGAACGAAATATTCTTGATCAGCCTCTTCGTCAGCCGGTACTTCCTCCTGTTTTTCCAGAATGGTAAATATATCGTATCGATTTGCTTGAGCCATTAAAAAAAAAAAGAATAATTATAAAAACTTCTTTCTTTAATACAAATCCTTTTTAGAACAATAAATTTTTTTTTCGATTTTAAAAAGGGTGGATAGGTTAAAGTCGATGCAATTTTTACATAGAGTTTCAATTGGAAAAATCGCATCCACTTTGACTTACCCCTAAAAGTTAAGGAATCAATTAGTAAAATAAGTAAATTTACCTATGGGCTCAAAGTCAATATCGGTGCGAAAATGTTTTTATTTCTATAAGAATAACATTATAAATTACGATGTTTGTAGATAAATTACAATATCCATGATGATTATTAACTTCAAAATGAATTTTGGAATTCTCCAGAAATAAAATGAAAACTAATTTTTTAGGAATCAAATTCTCTAGGAAGAAATTGAAGTAATTTTTTATAAAACATTTTTAATTTCATATTATTTATATTACACAGGGTATTCAAAATGTATGGAAACTTGAAAATATCTCGAAAAGTACGCATTTTCATGAAAAATGTTTTCATATTTTTTGAACACTGTATACTTAATTTGTATTTGTATTTTTTTTTTAATTTGTAATTTACAGCCCAATTTAGGTAATTGCAAATTTTCTTCAATTAACAAAAATTGTCTTTTAAATTAATTAATGTTTAAAAGATTTATTCTTCATTGTATTCAAGGGTACCTGCTGATAGAGGTCCGAGAAATGTTGGTGGACAAGATCTAGATCCTCTTGGAATAAGAGGAGGAGGAGGAATGATATTTGATCCATTACATACACGTCCATCTCTACTTAGAGAACCTGGAGGCTTAGGTGTTCCTGGAAGATTACCTCCGTAATAATTAAAAATTAAAATATTTTTACCACTTCAATTTTTATGGTCTATTTGCTAGATAATTTTGGAATATTGAAAGATTTTTAAATTTAATAATGAATTATATAAAATAATAAATATTAAAATATCGAATTATTTAAATTAAAAATAATTGTTTATCTCCATTAATTTACTGAATAATGAAAATGATTTTAAAAAATTTTATAATTAATATTTATTCATCTTTTTTTTCAGCGGAGCTGTGCCACCTGGAGCAAGATTCGATCCGTTTGGACCACCAGATATTCTTCGTCCAAGACCACCACGAGGAAATCCTGACAGCGATCATCTTCCTCCTCCTGGCTACGATGACATGTTCATGTAAAGTCAACAATTATTTTTTACGCATTACAAATAAAAATTACTATTTTTACCAATATTTATTTTTAGCATATTGATTAATATGAAAAAATGACAATAACAAATAATAATTAGTAAATTTCACATTGAATGAATTAATCAAAATTTCAAAAACAAATTATTAACAAAGTTAATCGAAATTTCCAGACTTTTCTGTTTCATTAATTTTTCTGTTTAATAAAATTAATTTCTTTTAATTATACTACAAAAGATTTTCATATTCAATTTATTTAATAGAGCGAAAAAACGGAACTTTTACTTTAGTGAATTTAAATTAATAAAAAAAAAAGTTGAAAATGAAAATTAAATGACAAACAACTTATTAAAATGATAATTTAATTTCAAAGAAATTATCGAACATTAAATTAGATTGAAAGTCAACACTTTTCTTTTCTCACAAAATGACTTCCACACAGCTTTATTTCGTTATTGTTTACAATATTAACAAAAACGGTTCTTCTTTTTTTTATAGTTCATCATACACAGACGTCAAAAAATTTCTTTTTGTTTAAAAACAAAATTGAATTCAAGATACAGTATTATCTTTTGTTGTATTATATACAATTAAACAATTTTTTTTATATATTTTTAAATTACACGAAAATGTCATTAATTTAAATTACGGAAAAATTGAATAATTTTGTGTGGAATTGCAGAAAAAAAACTCAACATTTTATTTGAGAACGCTATAAAAAAAATTTTAATACTTTTTTGTTTTTAAATAGAAAAAAGAATGAGAGCTTTGTGTGTTTTTTATTTAAAGAGAATTCAAGATTAAAAAATAGATTTTTTTTTTTAAATTTTCGAAGATTGTCTAGTAAGATTACACAAGTTTTTGTAGTCTACTAAAAAATCTTCTGACTCGATATTTAATTTTTCTTTTAAATATGAAAATTTTCCGAGTTTCTGATAATATATGCTTACTAGAAAATATCATTTGCACTGAAATATATAGATAAAAACTATAAGTAGCATTTCGATTCCATTTTCCCTAATGCGACACATGTCTCGATTTTTTTCTTTTAAATAACTTTACATTTGAATTCTTCGTATATATATATTTATATACGTATAAAAAAATAAAACAAATATTTTATTATACTCAAATTGTTGAAAAATATCTAAACTTTATATAAAATACTAAACATTGTTAAAACGTTTTTGACATTATATATTATATAATTTATTAATATAATTATTGTAAGTTTATCATTACATAGTATATTAATTAATATATAATATATAATTTTGTCAAATAATCGCAAACTTGGTTGAAAATATAATTTTGCTCTGATTTATCGAAGTCATCTAATTTTCAATTTACTTGAATGCGAAAGGAATAGTTACAAAATACATCATATATGTTTTAATTAAGTAATTCTTTACGAACATATTATTTGAACTAAGGTAAGTCGAAGAATTATATATATATATATATATTATCAATATTGGATTTAGGAATCGACACGATTTTTTTATTTTATGAATGACCCTCGTCCCATCCTCTGGTAAAAAATATTGCAGTGCTTTTTTTCTTTTTTAATATTACAAAAAAAGAAAATTGGATTGTGTTCCAGTTTGCTGTTTCTTCTTTTTCTACTCAGACAACCGTTTTTTTTTTAAATATAATAATTGAAGACATACAAAAAAAAAAAATATTTGCTCTTCGAAATTTTATGAAGGATGAATTGAAGATAAAATTAAAAGGAAATTTATTGTAAAATAGAAAATTGCTTTTGTTAAATAGAGAAAAAAATTATTTTAGTAAATAAAAACTGAGATAGTGGAAACTTTAAAACAATTTGGAAAATTAGCTTAAAACGGTTGTTTCAAGTCAACAAAAAAAGAAACAGTCTATATTCTTAAAATTCTTTTTAGAAGTGAATTTGACTATTTTTGAACACAGTTTAGTGTGGTGCGCAGACTCGCTGATAATTTTAGTAAAATTACAAAACACATGTTCTATTTTTTTTTTTTTTTTTTTTTTTTCTGAAAAAGAACAAGTGTTTAATTTTGTTTGGAAGTTATCGAACAAGGATTCAGAAAAAGAGAGAGAAATTAGATAAAATCATGAGCGAGCTGCGTTTCAAGTGATATATAAATCTGGAGTGAATTACCTCACCTTTGTTTTCACAATTTAACTATTCGTCTTTCGAATTAATGCATTATTTTCAAGTCCAATAAAGAGTTAAGTGTCCACCGGCTCCAAGTGCCATTGGAAATGCAACGTAATGTCCTTCATTGACGACCTTTGTTCATAATCATTGAACGAGAGATTAAATATTTGTTTTTTTCCAATATCACTACTACGAGTTGGTTAAGGCATAAACATTAAGTGTCTTAATTTAAGGAGACCAACATATTAAATTAATATAGCTGAGGCTTCAAAAAGAAGCAACAAAATTGTACCCGGCATTTTGTTTTTTTTCATTGTACTTTTTCAATGAATAAATTTTAGCCAGGTAAAAATAAAAATAAAAATAAAAATAAAAATAAAAAAAAAAATTAAAAACAGTTGTTAATCCTAATTTGATGTTTGGTAAGGGTTCATTGCACAATTTAAAGAGAAAGATGATAAAGCAATTGATTAAATTTCAAATTACTTTGTCGTAAATTTTATCATTGACAGATGCAAATATTTTAAATTGATCGATAAAAATTTTTTTAAAATAATTTTTAAAGTCATTTTATATTTTAAATTTGTTTTTTGCTTAAAAGCAATTTTCCGTTTATTTTTCTCATCTTTCTTCTCCTCGTCGCGCTCCTTAATTCGAAAAAAAATAATGTATAAATTTCAGACGTTCAAAACAAAATTTCTCGGCGTAATTTTTATTTTTCTTTTCAGTCGATTTTTTTTTGTTGTTGACAATTTCGCCATCAACGAGAAGAAAATGCGTCTCAATACAAAATATAATTTACAATTTTTTATTAACCTACATTACTACCTGCGTGTGTGTACAAAACGCAAATAGATAATTTTGCTATTCACTTCTCACTTTGTTTAAATAAAATAAAATAAAAATAATAGAAAGAGTGATACGTTTATCAAATACTTGCACGCACGATGAAACGCGCTTATCGATAATAGATTATCACGGAACCAATCAAGTTTTCTTTAAACAAAAGTTTCATCGTGTTTGCCCTTCGATGGAAGGTCAATATCAATATCAAATCAATTTCACTCTTGATAGGAATAACATACTTTTTTAAATCTAATTTTAAAACAAGATCTACAATTTCACATAATCTCGCATAAATTTTTTTTTCCTATTTTCTCCCCCCTTTTTCAATTTATCACTTGATTTTCAAATTTCATTTTTCGACATTGCAATTATCGCAATTTGTCACTAAATTAAATACGGTATTGTTGAGAAGAGCAAAATAAAATAGTTTTGCAAATCTCTTTATATACAATAAAACACTGGCATATAGATAATGCACAAAATAGAAGCAATAGATCAAAATAATTTGTTTTTCATTGCTTATAAAAACCCTGCACTAATTCATTTTCTTGTCATCAATCAAAAATTCGCGTGATAACTTAGAAAAATAAATTGAAGTAAAAAACAGCTTTAATTAAAAAAAATAAATAAATAAATTGAACTGAAATAAAAATTGATAAAATTCAAAAAATATTGAATTTAAAAAAAAATTAATTGAATTCAATTTATAAAAAGTCGAAAAAAAACAGGCTCCACTAACGAAAGCGAGAAAACCAGATAAATTTTAAGTGAGAATTATTTTTTTCGAAAAATAAAGTTTCATCACTTTATGACTCGAATGATAAAATAAATAGACTTGGTTGCATTTCCATTGACAGATAATTTCAAGCAGTAATGGTACGACACATAATTTGTCGTCTGACGCATAAACTTATACAATAATGTGTACCAATTAGTATCAATTATTATAGTCGCTTTCAGAAAAGAATTATTTTATCTACTGGACGCAGCAAGAGTTTTTTTGTCCGTTCTTGAGCTTCAGTCGAGACTTTGGACGATACTTTTCCAAATAGGCCAGCTGCTTGGCATTGATAGCACCTCGTCTCTTTCTAAAAATTTGCAAAGAAAAAAAAACCAACATTCATTTAATTGAAAATTGTCTTTCCTAAATTTACACGTTTTAGAACAACATTAAAGTAATGCAAACCGGAAAATGTTCAAATTCTTTAATTTTTATTAAATTTTTCAAAATTATTAAATATTTAATAATTAGAATTTTAATTATTCAAAACGAACGTGAAATTATTGACATTATTATTATATACATATATATGTATATATAGGTGAGTAGATCACGAGAAGGTGTCGCGATGTGTTTATTTCATTATTAAAACTTAATAATTATGCGTTCACTTACTCTCTGATTAAAGCAACTGCGTCTTCGTACTTAAGGCCAAGCTCGATCAAAGCAAGAACAACGAGAACAGGTGCCCTTCCAAGTCCTGCTACGCAGTGTACAGCAACGCATGCATCAGGTGATTCACGGAATCGATTTTTTAGTAATTCGAACCACTCGTCTACTACCTGTGGATCATAAGCAATTTCTAGTTTTTAAACAGTACTAGAAACATGTTTAACCTGTTAATCGTGTACTAAAGACCTGAATTCCAATTTAACGAAATATAACACACATATATATAGAACATAACAATCTCCGTTCAAAGTTTATATCGCAGGACAAACTATTATTCTCAATTTTATTCAACACCAAAGTTCTATATTCAATAAAATTTGTTTCAACTTAAAATTTATAAAATTCTATATTTCATAATTAAAAAAAAATGTTTTTTTTACCAATTAATTAAAAAAAATGTTAATATTCAGATAAAACAAATACGCAGTAATAATGAAGAATACTTAAAACAATTTTATTTCATTTCATTTGATATGTTCTGACATGTTAATAAAATTTTATCATTTTCATTTGTTTCTGTTTTTATAAAAATTAAATATTTATTTTTCTCAAGCTTAATTAAATAGAATTTAATAATAATCTATCTATATTCGAATTAATTTCATTATTCTAAAACACTTTTCGTGATTAATTTTTTTTAATATTTACCTCATTTGGTGGGAAGGTGCCATCATCGAAAACCAAGTCGATGACGTCGATGCCCTCTTGTCTGAGTTCATCAACTTTGTACGTTGGTTCACAAACTCTTACTACTTCTTTAACATTGTGCCTCTTCAGTTCCTATAAAAAGCAATATATTGTTAAGTATTTTCAAATCAACAGAATTTAAAAGAAAAAAAAAAGTACAAGAATAATAATCAAAGAAAACATAATTTTAATTAATATGTTAATTAAAAAATTGAACTAAAAAGAAAAATAATATACAAAGAAAAATAATTTTAATTTAATACAATTTTAATTAACATTATTAATTTTTAATTAAAATTTGATTTTAATTTACAAGATAAAAAAGTGAAATGTTTATTAAAATAAATTTTTTCATGATAATGAATAAATGAGGAAAAATAATAGCAGAGAGCTAATAGAAACTTACTTGAATAAAAGTATGGATGCTCTGATCGCTGGGCCGATCAGTAATGAGGAACTTCATATTTTTGAATTCAATTTCGGCTGGTGCCGGTCTGATGTCTTTGAACGTCATGTTCATTTCCTTCTTGACAACAAGAGGAAGTGTAAAAAATCCCGTTTCTTAACTCTTCTTTTTCCTCCTTTTTTTTCTCTCTCTCTCTCACGCTCTTCTTCTATTTTGTTTTCTCTCTATCTTGAGGGGGAATAAAACACTCCTTTTTTTTGAACCTCAAACTACAAATCAAAACAACCACTCTTTCTCTTTATCAAGCAACAGAAGTTGGGTTTTGTGGATTTAGTCCATAGCTTTCTCAGTCTTATAAATGTGTTATTTCTCATTAAACAAAAAATTAAATACTCTTTATTTTTATACAGAGGACAGAACAATGGGTTTACATGTAAAACTTGGGGAGGGTGGTTAAGGTGCGAATCTCGCCGAAAAGGTGAAAAACTACGTTACATTAGGCGTTGTTGATATGCGCTTTTTTTCCCACTCGGGAGGGGAAACTTTATTTTTTGTTTTTTAAATTACTCGGAAGATTATCTGAAACAAAAAATTCAATTTGCAAATATTAATCATTGTCATCAATTCTACATTTTATTTTTTATTTATTTATTTTAATATACGAAAGGGCGTTGCCCGTAAATCTTTGAAATAAATATCTTAAATTAAAAATATTTCTCTTTAATCGTATGATGTTTTAAATTTACTTTTCAATGATGGTAAAGCATTTTTTTAAATTTAATTCAGGTTTTGAAAAACATTCGCTTCAATGAAAAATACAAAAATTTTACTTTTTTCAGAAATATTTAAATTACATTTTAAATAAATAAATTTTACAATTGGACAAAAAATTTAATAGGTTTAATTTGAAGTTGCAGTGTGATTCGTTTCAAAGTTTTTTTGTTTTATTTTTTTTATAATAAAAGACAAAATAAAAATTCCGTATGAAATTTCTATAGAGAAATTTCTAGATAGAATCGTTTTATCTGAATCATTTATCAGTACATTCAATACAATTTCTACTCAATATAGAATTTTTAAATAACAAAATTTGTTTTTCACCGAATACATCTTTTTTGTGTTTAATCTTTTTGTCAAAAATTTTATTTTCATGAATTGTCGTTTTTTTTTTCATAGAATCCATAGAACTTTTAAAATGACGAATTTTCATTTGACAGAACCTTTTGTTTGTCCAAACAAAACATTGTGCAAAAACATTTTGTCACGAAATTAAAATATTAACGAATCACAAATAATTTTGTTGATAATTTCTGACTGCTTAATTTGAAAATTCACGTTAAAACATTACTGATGAATATGTTTATATCGATACTTGAAAACTTAATGTTTTAAGAATTCTATAAAATATATATGACAATTTGTACAAAAAGAAAATTATAGGACATAAATGTAAATTCTACTAAACGAATATTTAATGAAATAAAATTCGGTTAAATTAAAATTTGGAGTATGGAAAATTTTATCTTATACAAAAGTTTGATTAAATAAAAATTCAATTTCATAAATTTGAGAAATTGTTTTGAAATAAATAAACTCACCTATTTGGCACTGGGTGCTCCCAGATGAGGTGCGTTCGGTAACTACAGTGCCTGCATAAGATAGGGTAAATTAACAATTGCATCTAATAAATTCTTCTATTTCGCGTATGATGATGACTAGCTGATGATTTCTGACTTTCGGGGGTTGATGTTTTTAGATATTTTCAATATCTTTCCCTTCTTAAATTTGAGATGGTCTTCCGCTTCTTTGCTTACTTCAGTGTGTATCTTTGTAGTTTTGGAACACTCGGGCGTTTCTCTCTATTTGTGTTGAGCCTGACAGTACTCTGCACTATCCAGTTGAAACTCCATGTATGTGAGGATGCACTCATCAGGAAACTGTAAATTAAGAATTATTTTAAAAAAATTTTTATTAATAATTTTAATTTTTAAAAAATTTCAATTTTAAATTTCTATCAAAACATTTTTTTTTTTTTTTTTGCAAAAAAATCACATTTTTTTGCTGTATATATATATAGAGAATTACGAAACTTTTCATCAATTATGATATACTAAATTGATAATCTAAAAATATTAAAAGTCAATAATATATAGTAGGAACTGATTTTTGGTTTTTATACGTTTTTCAAAATTCATCTGCCCTTAAACTTGGCAGAATTTTCTCAAGGCTAGGCAATAAATTTTCACGTCGCAATTAACGATATATTTTTAGACTGACGAGTGGATATTTCGGTCATGTTTACAAGAGAAAACAATCGCTGTTTGTCGACAACGATGTATGAAAGCCAAATTATCTAAAGCCAATTTTCAAGCTTGCGTGAATTACTTCGGCATGTCTCGTGAGTGGATTTACTTATCTTCTCAAGAAATTCGCAACTTTGACGTACGATTATATCAATAAACTGCGTCTGTCATTCAATAAAAAATGTATACATGTAAAAAAAATCTTATGATACTTTTTGTCAAAATTAAATTTTCATTAATTATTTCCAATTTCATTTCAATTTTTAATAATTTTAAAATTAAAAAAAAAATGAAATTATGCATTTAATTTAATTTTTTGTTTCAAAATCAATAAAAAATTAAAAAATGGAAACATTTTTCTTAAAAAAAAAAAAAAAAAAAAATTATCATTAGTACGGAAATAAGTTTTGAAACATAAAATAATAAATAGATATATTTCGTTTACTGAAAAAATAATTTTTATTTATTTTGTGAATATTAGAAAATAAATAAAATTTTCAGGAAAGGGAAGTTCATTTATACTTGATAGTAAGAGTAAATAATTTCAATGTGAGAGAGATACTTTTGTGTTGATGCCAAGGCAAACAGCTGATTTAGTGCCGGGTTTAAAATTGAAGAGCTTTCTTCCGCCATATTTATTCACTTATGTATTTTAAGCTAGTGACCCTTCTTAAAATTTGATCCATTAATAATTCTATTATTATTTTATAACAAATAATATTGATGAAATACTTGTCAAATTATATAGATATAACAATTCATAATTCAGTAAAAAAAAAAAAAAAAAAATAAAGGAAATTTTTTCTTTTTTTTTATTTTACATTATTTTTAATTACCAATTGTCAAAAATATTGAGTAATTATTAATTAATAAATAAAAAATAAATTTATATTACAACAAAAAATAAGTTAATATATTAATAAACAGACAAATCAATTGAATAATTAAATTAATAATTAATCAATATGAGAAAAGGTATAATAATTTGAAATAAAATATAGACAAAATGGAAAGATAGGTCGAAATATATTGACAAAAGGGAGAATAATAATTATTCGTTAATAAATTATTTAGACTTCTGAACAGGAAATGTATTTTAGAGCTTCTTTTTTTTTCACAATCGTAGTAATTCCTCATTAAATAATATAATTCATTAGAATAAATTTTCCCATTGTGTTAAATTATCGTTTTATTAGAAAATTGTATAAATAAAATGAAATGAGTAATACCTAGTATATAAAAATCGAAATAGGGGGAAAAAATATTTTAACAATATGACAAACAGCACTTGATAAAACATTATTACTCACTTGAGCTAAAATTGAGTCATGTCAAATATATTTCTAAAATACTTATAAAACAAAAATCGAAAAAAATCAACGTTTTATAAAGAAATAAATGATGAGAGAAAAATTTTAAACTCACTGAATAATTCAACTGATCGATTATTAATAATGTTCAGTTTTTACCGGTGCTCTCGATTTTTATAACCTGTTATAAGCTGAGAGGTCACTTTTAATATATTCTATACACCGGAACGTGTCATTTGAATTTGTCTCAATCTTTGTGTATTATGTTTATTACTATTGAGCAAATAAATAATGGCGCAGTCAGATTTTTTTCGAGAAGGGGAAAAAGGAATTCATCTCAAGCATAACTACATCTATACTATACTATGTGTCTGCATAGCAGAAACTTGTACTCAGAATAAATTTTAAACTAGAATTCTCATCACAAATTATCGACTTTTATATATATATATATATTTATAAACGCTGACGAAAAAAAATTCCCCGCAAACAATATTCAGAAACAAATATTCTTATTTCACAATAAAAATTTTTAATGCTTTTTGACAAAATCATCAAAAATACACAAAAAAATTCTTAATGATAAATAAAAACAATTTTATATGTATAATAATAATAATAATAATAATAATAATAATAATAATAATAATAATAATAATAATGTATAATAATATTAAAACAATAAAAATAAATGCAAAAAAACACAATAAATTTTGTAATAAATAATTTTACATATATAAATAAAAACAACTTTTCACAAAGTATATGATTAAAAATTAATTTACTTTTCGCACTAAGTGTAAAAATAAATATATTCCCCGTAATATCTTATCTATATATATATATGTTTTGATAACATAAAAAAATACACTTAAATGCAAATTCAAAAATAGACTGTATAAAAAAATTTTTTCTTTTTTTTTTTTTACATAATGTATAAAACGGTGACGACATTTGTTGGAGACGTCAATTGGCGCCGATGATGCATATGGTAAAAGTGTGACTGACTGTCGCGCAATGAACAAGAATAAACCAATTAATTGGCAGTGTGTATATATGTGCCACACGGTCTTTTCTGCCCGCGAAAATTTCCAAGGATAAATCACTTTTAAACCGTTGTACATTTTTGTTCACGTGAAAAAAATAACGATATACTTATGTACATATGTATAATAAACTTTCGCTGCGTCAAATAAAGTGATTTTTTTTTATTTAAAATTTTTTAAAATAGTAAAAAATTTAATTTTTTTCAAAATCCTTCATTCACACACGTAAGACGAAATTTGTTAAGTTTTTTTCATTTCATATATATATAATCTTGTCATAAAAAACCAGTATTTTCGAAAAACAAGCAAAATTTCTATATTAATTTTGAATTTTAATTAATTAATCTGCTTAAAGTTGTGTTTGTACGTGTACTAAAAGTTCTATAAAATAGAATAGTAAAAAAAAAAAAAAAAAAAAATTATATAATAGTTTTGATCGAAAAACAAAATCCGGTGCACAACTCCCCTACTTTTTAAATAAAAACACGTTTTCTTTAAGCAAATAAGATTATATTATTAAAGTAAAACAAAGTTTTCACCCTCTTGACTATTGTGGAAGCCTGATCGTGTTAAGACGACAAGGAATTAATAAACTCTGTATATATGTATACATTTATATAATTATTGTCTTGAAACTTGATAAATAAAATTAAATACCCTCTTCAAAAAGCATTTTTAACTGAATAAAGATTACAAACTTTTTTTTGCTCTTTAATTCATGTTAATACTACGCAGGGAGGAATAAGAGTTATAGAAAGTTTTAATATAATTTGCTTATATTTTTATTTTCAATTTTTTCCTTAAGTATTATTCAAGAAAGTAATTTATGATTTTCAAAAGTTATTTTAGAAATTTCATTAAATAAATTGAAAATGCAATTTTTTTTTGTAATACAAATGCGAAAGAAAGAAAATACAATTATAGAAAAAGCACTTCAAATAATTATATATATTATAGAAGAACTAGTAAAAAAAACTGTATAAATATTACCTACGCATGAAAAACATTAGTTTGTTATCAGAACACGTCAAGTATGACGTTAGTTATACGTAAAACTTTTGCATCATAGTTCTTTCGATAGTCATTCAATTTTTTTTAACGATCATACGCTGATACTGCAATAAATAATTTTATGTTTATTTTAACAATCAATCTTAACAATCATTTCTATTATTGATAATTTTATTTATTGCTTTATTCATTTAAATATTATTTAAGTATTTATTAATAAGAATAATAATAATAATACAGTGGAACCTCGATTATCCGAACCGAAAAACATTTTATCCGAACTATTTTTTGGTCTCCCGAATTAAAAATTTTATTTTCTCTATTTATTTTATCATTCATTAATTTCTGAGAAGAATGAATGATTTCTGAGTTTTTAATACATTATTAATTAATATATATATTTACATATATATGTATATACTTATGTATATTTAAAAACATATGTATTAAGTTAAATATATAGTTCAACTGTACATTTTTTTACTTTAATTATAAAAAAAAATTAAAATCTCTATTATCCGAATTTTCGATTATCCGAACCCGGCCTTGCCTATAGATTAGTTCGGATAATCGAGGTTCCACTGTAATAACGGCAAAAATGAATCATTAAAATAATATAATTATATAATATATATTATTTAAAAGGTTTCGACGAAATAAACAATTTACAATCCAAAAATTCTGAATAGTTTAAAATAATCCTGAATATAACACTGATGATTTTTATATAATTTAATTTAAAAAAATTTGTTAGAAAAAAAACATGTTTTTTAAGCATCAAAATATGTAGAAGCTTTTAATTATATTCATATAGAAAATGAAAACAGCAATTCTTCTTTATTAATTGAAACATAACACGCCTTGCACGCACCTGTTGCCATTTATTGTATATATATATACAATAACAGAGATATTAAATTTGAAAAAAAATCGGACAAGTGCTAGTTACACTCGCATTAAAACCGAGGGTTCTGTACCTTTAAACCTAAAATTTAAGGGAGTAAAAGTGTGAAGGCAGGTGGAAAAATTGCAATTTTGCTGAATTTTTCCTGTAATGTGAGCATGAAAACACATAGTCACATATATCGAAAATTATCAGTTTTTCCTTGAAAACGCTATGATAACCAACTCCAATTGTTCTCGCTATATTTTTTTTGTAATCTACACGTCAAAATACATATGTGTACCAAATTTCAGCCCTCTAGATAAATTCGTGTGGACGCTAGGGGGGGGGGGGAACATTCTTTGCTTCACTAGTTTCATAGGG